AAAAAAAAAAAAAGGAGAAAAAAACCAATGTTATGTCGAGGAGGGCGCCATTGCAAACAGGTGAACAACAAACTGACCACTTCAGTGCGCGTTTAATGCGCCGGATCCTATTCTTTGCGCTCTTTGAACCAGCACTAGACACATACGCACAGAGTCAACAGCGAACAGCAAAGGAAAAAAAAAACATAGGGGACCGCGCAAAGTAGGGAGGGAAAGTAACTGCCAAGTCTACGCCCGTGGGAAATCTGTGTGTGGGAATTGTTTCACGGAAACCACCACTGCTCACACACACGGGTTTCATCATCACACATCCCCCCCTACCCCTCGCTTCAATATATCCTCCTTTTTTTCTTTTTCCTCGAATATTCGTTGATATACTTGCCTCTACTACGCCTAGAAGACAACACCGTTGATCATTGCGCCAATGGATTGGTTCAGGTTTGCGTTGATGAGTCCCTCGGCTTCTGTCTGCAGATGGGCGATGGGATTGGTCCGTCCAACATTACCAACGTCGTCTTCATCAAGTCCTTGAACAATAAATCTCTCAGACTGCGTGGCAAGCGAAGTCAGTGTGCGAATCTTTTCCCGAACAGTTTGGCGGTCAAACTTTTCCATATTTTCAAGCCGAAACCCTTCTTGCCAACCTTTTTTGTAGACGTTCAGCAGCAACGCAAGCTCGTGATTCTTCTTCCGGAAGGTGATTGGAAGGCTATAGTAGTCACGATCGAGACCACGGGCCAATGCAATAGGTGATGGACGCGTCAGCCATCCAATATTACTTGTCGTCTGGCGCGGGTCATGGAGCATGTTCCGTGATCCTGGAAACAGGTCCCTGGTGGTACGAAAGGCATCGATAACCACCTTTCCCCGTACAGACTGGATCGGATCGACGACGACCGATACGCTGCGAGGGGTTAACTGTTCGTAGCTTGCCGCCGTCATTACATCCTCACCAGAGAGCCAACATCCAAACCCTGGGTGGCTATGGTACCAGCCAACAACCTTCTCCGAGCGGCCCACCACGGAGAGTCTGTCCAGCATGTGTACCTGGTACTCAGGGTCAACTGCCTCTACGGACTGCCCGGTAGCCGTCTGTGGCATCGAAAATACGTCCGTCACGCGGATGGTGTAATCATCGATCTGCTCGCCAATCATAAGGCCCATTACCTCAAGCGGAACACCCGCCCTGCCGTGGAGCAGCATCTTCAGCAGCGCAAGAGAGGATATCTGAACCGTCTCAGCTGTGTCACGCAAATCCTCCGTCGGAGCACCACGGGCACCAACGCCAGGCAACCCATGGCCCTGAGACAAGTTCGCGGCGTTATGCATACCTCGTTATCTCACAGTAAACCTTTTCCTTGAACCTTTTTCTTTCTTTTCATTACCACAGCCAAAGTAAAAGAAAAAAAATATATATATATATATATATACGTGCATGCATATCCTTAAACAAAGACACTCACACATCGCACTTCGACAGTGCAAATATCCCAAACAATCTACCCACCCATTTCGGCGTCACCGCGCAGAAATACTGCCCCACTGGGTCGCCACACCGGGGTATCGAGCCACAGCTTCACACGAAACTGCCACACCCATTCGCGCGGACACCATCAACGATGTTGTATTGCAGAAGCGCGGGCCCCATCTCGGCACGCAAGAGCATCTCTTACGAACACAATATTATTCTTGTCGAGACACTCCTCCATCAGCGGCTCCAACACCAAGCCTCACTTTCAGAGGCGTGGCTGGCGCCGGGTAAAGGTGCGTGAGAGGTGCCATGCCATGTAACGGCGTGTTGAACTGCAGAAACAAGCAACAGTCATCACCACAGCCACTTCCTAGCACTAATGATCACCGTCTAACGGCATACATCACCGTTTACTTTATTCCCACTTCCCCGGATGCCATCCACAAGTTAGCAATTTGCGATAGTACTATGGAGAGAGACCGTCAGGAAAGAACAGCAACAACCCCCCCCAAAAAGGATTAGCAAATGTGTCGCTCTCTTAAGGATGAACGAAGGGCTGTTCTACCAACATGCATTCCCCTGTAGTGGGGAGATAGACAGTACTTTTACCTATCCCAACTGGAATTAGACGTTTCTTACATTCCAGCACTTTTAAAAAAACTCCCAAATTATTTTTGTGGTACCACAGCAAAATGTTCTGTTAAGCACTCGCTGTGTGCAGGGGCAGCAAAGGTGTCATGAACACCGCAGCAGAGCACATGGTAGCAGAAACACTTTTGACTTCCTCTTCCCCCTCTGNAAAAAGGACCAAATCAGTAATGAGACGAAGTGTGATTCTTTCCCTCAATAGCAAACATTCCAGTGGCTCGTATTAACCGTTTTTCCCATTCCCATTTTCCGAGCACTTACAATTAAGATTATAGGAAGGCTGCCCTCTTGTCTCCCACACGCGGGTGTGTGAGAGACTAGATTGGAAATCGCAAACTGAAAACAGAAGAGCATGGACGTGACGTCTTAATGAACGATCATGACCAGTGAAAGCAAACCCTCAACCGGAAGTGACCTGATTTGCCTGAATAATAAGAAGAGAACAGTCGAGTCATTTAGATCGCAGCTTGCGCGGATACGGCTTCGAAGAAGCAGAAGATTTCTCACGGCTCACCGCCCTAGTGCAGTGGGCCAACTCGGCGTTGCTCCAGGATCGACGAAGTGGCCAGCGAATGCATTGTCACTCCGAAGGCGGTGCTGTCTGCCACCAACTTTCGCTCCGCACTCAGGGCACCACCCCTCCTCCATCGCGCCGCCGCAGTCCCCAATGGCGTAGATGTGCCCGTTGGGGCACTGAAACCAATGCCCAGCGGAAAGGCCGAGCGACTTTGCAGCATACCGCACAGTTTCTGCAATTAACTTTCTTTGAGAAAAGCACAGTACCACTTGCTTTGCCCTATCCTCCTCCTCCGGGGCAATACCATGTGCCGCAAACCACATCGCTGTTTCAATATGTTCGGACAGTGCTTTTGGAACTTCCACAGGCAACTGCGCCAATTTGTGCAGGTAGCTTGTCCACTCCACTCTCTGCGCAAACTTTTTCACCTCTTCATTATTCTGCGCAGATGGCAAGGATTTCGTTAAGTTACCCGGATCATCCACCAGTTCTGCCAGGTTTCTTGAGCAGAATGCCCGCACTCGCTCTGCCATCTCAGACGCACCGGTTCCCTTACCCACTCTTTCGTCGTGCATCTTCACAAATGAAAAAGCAGCGCGGGAAAGCATTTCGGCATTGCGCGCAATATTACTGTCGCTTTTCCTCAGTTTTACAAGACCCACTTCTAACACTTGCAGGTGATACAGCAGCAGAGAGATCCATTTCTTCTCCAGAAAAATCTCTCCGCAATGACGAGCGAAAGCACCTGGAATGTCAGTCTGAGGCAGTTTGATTCCAGATTTCGGTTTCCCCTTGCCAAACTTGTTTTGTTTCTTCAGTCTTTCACGAGTTTGTTGAATAATTCCTCGTAATTGTTCTAAGCAACCAGTATGCACATTAGTTTCAGCGAGATATTCCAGAATTTCATCCACACAGCATTCCGCTGACTTCTTAAGCTTTTGCAGTTCCTCGTCGATTCGTGCCGCTACCTTTTCAGCCGCCAAAAGTTGCTGCTTGATAAAGTAACCACCGTGCCGGAAGCTCATTGGCTGCAGAACCACCCGGCATAGAGGACACGTGTGCACGCCGACCTCCTCTGATTTCTTAGCCGCAAAGGTGCTGAGCAGCTCCCTCGCTGGAAGGAATGAACCACAGCAGGGTAACTCAACAAGAAACGGAGGCTCCCCGTCATCGGCCACGGGCTTTCCCAGGCGTACCTCGTCGCTGTCGCCTATGAAGGTATGCACTTTCTGCGCGAGTGAAACAGTGTTCGGGACACCCTCGACATAACAATCCCAGCAGAACGTGGGGCATGTCTCCCCGCACAGGCCACAACACTGATGGCCGCAAGGCAGCTTCTCCGAACACCGTCGCCAGCATCCATCCTTATCCCCACCGAACTCACACGGCTCGTTGCACTTCTTCACGCACGCACCGTGCGGACAACTCCACGCACATGGTTCCATGCACTTTTTGGCAGGACAACCACTGCTGCAGGTGTGCACTGCCTTCTCGCATACCTCTCCACAGGGCTTGCCATGACCGCACCAAAATGAACATGGCTCCTCACAGAGGTCCACAACGGCAGTGCAGCCCACTTTACTCGCGTGTCCACACACAAGTGCTTTTCCTTTTTCTTGACATCCGCTGTGGAACTTCCTCAGTGAGCACACACCACACTTCCCCTTGCATCGATGCCCGCACAACAATGTGGCTTCACATGGTGAAGTGCAGAGCGGCGGGTCGGGTGCACAACAGTCGTGTTCCTCACTGTCGTGACCGCAGGGCAATTTCACTGTTATTATCTCTTTGCAGTTACATGATCCCGTGTGACCACATTGGAGTGCACAGCGCCGTCTGTGTCGGCACGCAAAGACCTCCCTGCCACATACAGCATTGCAGAGTCCGGTAAGGTCCTTCTGATTGCACCGATGCTTCACGTTGTGTCCGCAAGGAGCCTGGCTGATCCGCTCCTGAACGCAAGTTTGAATACGCTGTCCGTGATCGTCATCGATACCAAAGTGGCACTTTGTCCGGCAAACATGCCCGCAACTCATGTGCAAACTGCATCTCTCTCCGCAGTTCCGGACAGCTGTTCCATTCGCATGATCCATACAGGGTGCACTCACCTCGTGTCCACAGAGCGCCTCTTTGGTGCACAACTCCCTGCACAAAGGAACATCTCCTAGCATATGACATTGCATCATGACAGTGTGACCACACTCCTCGTACTTGTGCCCAACCCTGACGGTGCATACACCGCAATTATTTCCGCATAAATTCACACATGGGTGCTGACACCAAGGTCGTGGTGGATTGCACACGTTACCAGTCCGTTCGCACGGCTTTACACACTTCGGATGAGCTCTGTGAGCATGACATTTTGCTTCGCATCTGTGACCGCACTCAAGAACAGCGTCGCATCGCTCAGGACATGATGCCCGCTTCATCTCGTATTCCTTAATGCTGCCAAAGGAGAGGTCATGTGTTGGGTGTGAATCGCAGCGTGCCGGAAAGTGTGTGCCAAAACAGCCATCCCTGAGACATGTTTCTTTGAGATGCTTCCACAAATCGCATGCATCTGACATCAACGAGCTGCAGCCGACAACGTAGAGGGCACTTCTCGCCCGGCTCAGTGCTACACAGGAGCGATTTTCCAGTCGAAGAAATCCCGGCTTCTCAGTACGCACTAACGACAGAATGATTATATCATCCTCCTCACCCTGGTAGTCATCGATAGTGCTGAGCCGCACACCTGCTTTGTTTCTCTGATGCTTACCACGGCACGGAACTCCCATTCTTTCGAGTTCCTTGAATACTACAAACTGCTGACCATTGTATGGCACCAAGATTGTGATGCTCATTGCCGGGTTTATGTTCCACAGATAGTGCGCAATGCAGCTCACAAACTTCGCCTCGAAAGAGTTTTGTGGACTCATCATGTCCCCACAAATCCATTCTTTCTTTTCACCGCTGCCATCATGATCAATGAAGTAAAGTCGGTGTGGGCTGCCAGTAGCTCTGCAGACTCCGAAGGGCGGTGGAATGTTGGAGGTCCGCGGGTGGTCCTCGATCACTACAGGGCAGTCGCCGGCAACGCAACTCCTCAGGTAGTAGGGCTTGGTGAGGCACGATATCTCGGAGGTCATGCGGCGCTGCATGGTGAGCGTCACGCACGGCAGGCCGGACAACACCAGTCGCTCCATCGCCGATACGGCCAGGTTGTGCCGACGCTCCAATATGTACTCACTCACCTTTGGCCTCAGCTGCTTGTGGTCTCCGATCAGCACGATATGCTGCATACTCTCCGTGATACACGCCAGAATGTGCGACTCAAGGAGTTCTGCGGCCTCTTCCACGACCAGCACAGAGGCCCCACACTTCTGGACCGTTTCGATCACTTCCATCATCTTGGTTGAAGTGGCAGCAATGACGCCATATTCCACCAAACAAGAAGACTGTTTCTTTCCATCCACGAGCTGCAGTTTCAAGTGCTCCTTCTCCATCTCCTCAACAATATAGCTCAGTCTCTCCTGGAGGGAATAGATACATTCCAGTCGAAGCACATTAAGCAACACTGAACGTTCAATTCCAGGACCCACATTAGCAAGCCTTTCAGAAGCGTCGTGCACGTACCGCTTCCGTTCTTCTGCCAACGGGAGAGCCAGAAGCGATATCTTCGGGACTTGCGCCTCATCAAAGTTCTCATCTTCGTCAACATCGCGCTCGCGACGCCGTTCCTCCAGCGCTGATGCCTCAAAATTATTCAGAGCAGAATCTTCCTTTGGACCACCCGAGTTATGGTAGTCAGCGGCATTGTGCATAACATTTTCCCCAACTTCTGGAAGTGGAGAGAAGTCGCATTTCTCGTTTCGCCACTCTTCCAGGAATGTTTTGCTCTCCGCTTCCTGAATTCTCTTCAATGCTGCTAGCAGCCGCTCAATCGCCGCTTCAAAGAGAGGCAGAGATCTCCTCAACAGTCCTTGCTTCGCCCGCCCGACAAAGCTGTCTGCAAGGTACCCCAGCTCCTCCTGGAGGTACACACAAACTTCAGGCGTTACACACACATTCCCATGAGCATCGGTCACGTCTTTCTTAATAGCCCGAACTTGAGCAAGGAAATTCTCTTTATTAATACCGCACTCACTTCCAAGGTACGGAATTACGTCAACCACACCGAACCACATTCCCAGCTGCAGCGCACTCAGCTGATTCTCAAGAAAAATTACATTCTTCGGCATATTCAGAAGAAGCTTGGCTGAAATATCTTTCTGAATTGAATCACACTCCAACTTCAGTGTCTGCATTGTATGCCGGCGATGTGTTTGTTGTTTCAGCCACTTTGTAAGCAACGCAGATTCCCTGTATTTTTGCAATACAACCATTATGGTGTCCTCCACGGTTTCTGTAACAACATTAGTCTCCTTGAGACTGCTGATTTGACTCACAAGGGTGTAAAATTCCTCTCCCATCGTACGCCTCGAACGTGGAAGACGGACCTCATACTCTTTTAGCTCCTCATCAATCGCGTGTCCGAGGATCCCAATAGTGTCAGAGTTGTCCCCAAGGAGCGACTTCAGGTTCCCAATAGTGCTCTCAAGGGCATGATGGGTGTACGTCATGACGACAATGGGCCCAATCCCCAGGCGCTGCTTGTTCTCCAACAGAAGTTGAAGAAACTTCGCACACACGAAGCTCTTTCCGGTACCAGGGGTGCCCTGAACAACAGCCACCTGATTACGAAATATATGCTTGAGGGCAGCCAACTGGGTACCGTCAAGCAACGCTTTCTTGCCTTTCGAATCCAAATGAGTTTTTCTTTCCAGCTCCTCCGTCCAGTTTTCGCTGCGCCACTCCCCCAGTGCGGGCTGCATATCATCAACATCAGGCCCAAGTGTAACGTAGAGTCCAATCTGAAGCGAAGGATTGTCTTGAAGATAAATAGGCGCATTTGTAGCACCTTCCCCAGTAATCACGGCCCGAAGGAGTGCCGGCTCCACACCATCGGCGAAACGCTTTTCATGCATTTGCAGCGCACACAGGCTAGATGCCGTTGGAAGATAGAAGGTCGGGCAACGAATCATTGCGAAGCTTGCAACCGCCTTCACACAAGGCAGGCACTTTAGGATATCCACGGGGGATACCGCCACCTCCACGTCATCTTTGATCCTTTTAACAACTCCAACAATGAAATTACGCGCAGCTGGCTCACCTGAGCCCGACCACAATACGACGAGGTCACCGCTGAGAAATCTCGCCTTGTGCGTAACCCTCCGTGGCGGAAGGCGGAATATAAAAAGAACACCGTCGTAGGGACTTGGCTGAATGCCAGAGAAAAGCACACTGTACGCCTCGATCTTCATCCCTGATTTCTTCGCCTCACGACAGGAAAGAAAACTCCCTCCCTTTTCTTGCAGAAGCTCTACCGTCTCGCTTAGCGAGTGCATGCAATCGGCCCTCGAAAGATGGAAAAGCGCTCTCAGGTGGAGGCCGCCTAGTTCTCTGGGAATGAAGCGGTCCACTACCACGCCTGGAAGTTCCTCAAGCCGCTCATACCCCTCCCGAAGCCCTACGGCTGTGTGCGGCAGCACAGTTATGGCAGAAATAGGCATCATATCGTTCTTGTACATCTGGCAGACGGTGTATCTCTTCTTCACCTGCTTTCCCTCCTTGTCGGCCTCGGCTTCCTTGATGTGAGCTTCTAATTCCTGCAAAAGTAGAGTAGCCTCGCGCCGCCTGTCCTCAGGCACCAACGGAAGCACTGAAGCCTCGCTGAGGGCCCGGCGGCCGTCATAAGACGTTGGATCCCGCTTGTAGAGATCGTATGTCAGCTCAAATATCTGTTCTTGTTCGCCTGCTGTCCACTTCCGGAGGTCTTCCATTTTCTCTGTGCACCGGATGACCCACACATCGCAGCACAAGCGCACCTCAACTTTGGCCGGAGAAAGATCTCCTTCGCCGGAAAATGAATGCACGATTTTGCACACAACGGGGAGCAGACGGCGTACCACCGATGAAGTGCGGAGCAGCTCTTTAAAGCCCATCATCTGCTCCTCGCTACCCAGCACAACCTGGGAAGGGTCAGGCGCCTCCACTAGTGTTAACAGCGTGTCCAGGGCACACTCGTTTACTCTGAAACCACCCGAATGTCGTTCCTTGCGGTGCAAGAAGTTACAATTATCCGGCCTGTGTGGGTCGGGGTTTGTGCACCAGCGGCCATAACCACTGTTGCGCGCCCTCTCTAGTCCCGGGTTTTGTATGAGTAAAGTGATAGATACCATGTTGCCATCCACGCGCAGCATGCCGGCGACTCTCGGGTCTCGCGCTCGCCCAGCGCTGCTGCCAAAATGCGTATTACCCCTACGTGGAAGCTGCCAAGCAGCCTGCCCCCTGCCACTTCCACGGAAAGACGGCGGAGCCAATAAATGAGACGCCATTTTTAGCCCGGTGCAAAGGAAAGCAACAAAATTTAACGAGCGTATCGATGATGACACGAACAGCAAAAAGCAAAAAAAAAACGGCTTGTTTCACTGATACTGCTTCGAAAAAGAAACAGACCACCTGTCTCTCTCTCTTTGAAAAAAAAAAAGAGACCGAGTGCTACAAGTACTTATGTTGCCTAACTTGCGAGGCCCAGCAATGATTGTTCACTTTTTAATCACTTGAACCCCCCTGAGTTATGCAAGAAAAACGAAGAAGAGGAGAGAAGCTTCACCATGTGCGTCGCGGTTTTTGCTGTGTCTCAGCCAATTTGTTTCTCTCCCATTCGAAGCCCATCAGCAGATACACACACACACACTCACACACACATAAACAAAACAATCCAGCGCGGATTGTACCCCGTAACGCGACCGACTCCTGCCAGGTCGCACGGCGTTCAGGCGGTCCCAAACGGCCACAACTGCCACACACTCCCTTCCCACACACCACTCACGTGGCAAAATTGGCGCACGCAGCGCCACTCAGAGGAACAACGAACGTCAGATCGACCGCATCGCATCGCAACGCCGAGAAACGTCTGGATATCCCACCAACACCAGTGCGCACGCGAGTCACCATCGTGGCTCACTCCTTGCCGGGATGGACAGTAATCGTTGAAGTGTGCTATCGGTGCTATGCATACCTCCTTATCCTGTCCTCTCTATGACCCCCTTGATCCTCCCCCGTGCCACCGCTCACCCAAACACAACGTGTTGGCATCTGTGTTAGATAGGAAACTTGTGCATTGCAGTTAAGCACCGCAGCTCTCTTACACAATCTACTCACCCAAGCAAGTAACCCACTTCGGGGTCACTGCGCACCAAACGAAAAACAAAAAAAAAACAACAAATAGACCTTGAATGATATGTCAGTCCCTCTACATGTCTAGGCCATCAGCTGAATTGTCTCCACACCCTTCAGAGTGAACATTGCTCTTGGTTTTAGTAGGAGTCCGAGTGGGGCCTCGGCTGACGCTGCCGTCTCCCCTTTTCGTATTCGTTTTCCCCTGTTTCGTCGACTTCACTCCCCTTGTCATCGTTGTCAGCGTCGCTGTCGTCGTTGCCAGAGAAAAGGAGAAGCTCCCTTTTCTCATCTGCACGCGCGGCACATCTGAAAATGGCGTTGCGCGCCGCAAATATCTCCTGCTGGACTTCTTCTACAAAGTCAAGTACTCCATCTATGATACGGAGGAGCGTTGATGCTGGAACGCATTCTGCTGCAGGCGTTGCTGCCTCCGCTGTTGTATGTAGGAGTCCCGAATTCTCATTTTTGCGCGATTGCTCGTGTTGCTGTTTATCGTTCGACCCCGTTTGCAATTGTTGGTCACGCAGTGCCGTGAGGAATTGCTGCAGATCACGACAGGAGGCGAGGACGTGCGACGAAGATCGCTCACTGATGTCTTTTACTTCGTCCACCAGAGTGGATAACGTGTGTCGTACAAGTTCGAGGGCCTCATTGTTGTCTTGGTCCGCTTCACTCGCGTCATCGTCCACGCCCCTCCTATTGCTGTGCTCATCGATAAGGCCGATCTCCGTGTGTGCGTGTTCAACTGCATGGGGATAGTGGTGTTGCTCTAGCAGCGCGGCGTGCTGAGCCTGAACGTCGCGTAGGTGTTGCAGTGCACACTTCGCGAGCTGGTCGTAAAGATTAAACAACTCAAGACTGTTTTTCCCTGTGACCCGCCGACGCACCTCACGTCGCAGCGCCTGCTGCTGTTGCCACAGAGCTGAGGCGGATGAGGAGATGAGACGTGGGAACTCACCATAGAAAGAAGAGCCACCTGATTCTCCGCTCTTTGTATAGTGTTGTTGGAGCTGTTGCGGTTGCTTCTGTTGTTGAAGTCGTCGCCGCGTCTCCGCCGCCACCCGGTGTCTCATCTTCTCGTTCCACACTCTGTTGATTTCGATAAGAAAAGGATAGAAGCACTCGTGACTTAGAGACGGAAGGTAGCGGTTCTTGAATTTCTGCGCCTCAACGAAGACAGCATGCGGTATCCAGAAGTCCTTGTCGTGCCGACGTCCCTTTAGCACATCGCAAGGTGACGGGACACGCGGAATGCCATCAATTCTACCACATCGGGATGCGTCATCTAATTCGCCGATGTGTATTCTAGAGCGACGCAGGAAATAATTCTCATCATCAATGATTTCCTGCAGCTGCTTACACCACTGACCATTCAGGTACACGTTGCACGATTGTAGGAGCGTGTTCCCGCCGTAAATTCCATCATCCAGACCAGTACCGAGGGGGGCTTCTAGAGAGCCTCCGTTTCGTCGCCGTGAGAATCCCGTGTCGTCGTTGGAAGGCTTCGCCGACGCTGGTGTTGCTGTTGTGTATCCGGCGAAGATCATTTCCCCGTCTATGTCGCCCACACGCAAATACCGCCGCATCTCAGGTACCTCGCTGAGGAGTCGAAGCAACCGCGCCATGCTTAAACGCGTCGCCACCATCTCCGCTTCGAAGTCACGCTTCATGGCAATGTTGCTTTGCATTTTTTTCATGGCTTCCGAAACACGGGCCTCCATACTTTCCTGAATTGCTTCCAACTTGGAGCGAAGCGCATTGTTTTCATCTGCCAGTGCCTCTCTCTCCTTCCGGACGACATGGTGTTTTCGCTCCAGCGCATTGACTTCGTCCTGCAGCGCATGCAGACTTGCAGCATACCGTTCCCTTTCCTGCCTCCGTTCCCGTTTTCTTTCCTGTTCCCGTTTCCTTTCCTGTTCCCTGCCCATCGTAGAATTATCACCAGCGGTATCGATTTTTGCCGACTTCATCAGCTGCTGCTGCTTATCCCGCGCCACTGGCGTTCCTTCCCCTCTTCCTTGTGAAGGGACAGAAGCAACGTTACTCCGCAGGCTAAGTTTTTTTTCCAGCTGCCTCACGCGCTGATCCTTTTCATGAAGTCTGTCGCTAAGCTCTTCCACCTTGGCTCGCGCTTCTTCCAGCGCCACTGTCCGCTCCTTGAGGACGCGATCGCGCAGCTCGTCCGTTTGACTCTTTGCACCAGCCGCAAGCTCCAACTGTGCCCGCAGCCGCACCACCTCTGCGCGGAGATTATCAATGATATTGTCGCGCTGCAAACGGCCTCTCTCGGCACACAGAAGTGTCTCGTCGAGCGCCATGATTTTCTCATCAAATTGTTTTTCTTTCTCCCGTAGTCGTTCTAACAATGAGTCACGTTCAGAGACACAGCTGCTTTCCATTGTCATATCGCTCGACGTGGCTGGAATCGGTTGCTCATCCGCAGCAAGTGACGGCATAGCATCAGCATCTCCATCATCACATTGCAATTGTCTAGTTGGTGACCATCGTTGCACTTCAGACTTTTGCGTTTTCCGTGTCTTCTGTCCCGCAGTATTGATCTCCGATTCGACAGTTCTCGCCTCATTCTTCCTTTTCTCATCCGGTGCGTAGTACACCGATTCAGAAACAAATTGACGGGGTACTGGAGAAGATATGACATCCTCAAGCGATCTTCGCCGAGTGCCAGAAGCAGATGCTTTTGCTTCCGCCACTTCGTCCCGAGCCATGAAGTTCCCTTCTTGACCTAAAACTATGCTTACGTGTGTGCACGTGGAGCGGGTGCGCGTGTTTGTTTCTAAGGGCTTCGGTCTATTGATGAATTAGCCCCAGTTTAACTTTATTTTAACGCGGTGCAAAAAAGGTTGACAATAATGAGCATGGGAGAACAAGACCTGCCTACGGATAGAGGACTCACTGGAAGAATGGCGACGCGTATGCAATTTCATCCGTTTTTTTTTTCCGTTGCAGAAGGCATTATCCACGGAGATCCACTCGAACAGAGAGGAAGTGCAAAGACGGGGATAAAAACAACGGCTCCCTCCCAAATTAACCAGGCAACAGGTGTCAATCCGCGTCGGGCGCTGTTGCGGATGCCTCAGATTCCTCCCCTTCGCCCACACGCCGCTTGCCTGGGCCAAGTGTTGGGTGCCGAACTGATGGGAAGTCCATGGTGACCGAGGAACGCCGCGGCGGCTCGCTCACATGGCCTACTGTCTCTGGGGGTGCGGTACTCGCTTGCGCCTGTTGCATGGGAGGCGCAGTAGTTTTGGCTGCGACTGGAAGTGTTATTGTTGTTGGCGCTTCCACCAACGGAACTGTGAGCGAAGGGCGTCGCACAGTTGACTGTCGTGGTTCAGGCAAACTTGGTGCAAGGACATCAGAGCGACCACCGGTCGTTGGCCGTGAAAGCGATGGCACATGACCGGCACCAGCTGCGGGAGAGGAGTGTGAATCCGGCAGTTGCAGCGTCACAGAACCACTTGTTTCTGAAGAAATAGGAAGATTTTCGCCACTGTTTTCTTTCTTTTGTTGTTGTTGCTGCTGCTGTTGTTGCTGTGGTGGATCATTGGATAACGATTGATGTTGTTGTTGTTGCTGCTGTGGACCGTTCTTCCGCAGTGATGTCATGTGCAAGCGTGGCTCGCTGCTATCATCAACAAGGGCTACCGTGGCCGAAGTGGCTTTGCCCCCACCGTTGGCCTCAATGGGGTGATTGTTACCCTCAGAGGCTTTTTGCGTAGCTCGCGTCGGCGCCACAACTTCGGTATTATACTTTACCAGACCCGAAACAGAGTTGCTTTCGACGCGGGCGGAGACGGCATCACTTGACTGCACATGCGAATTGTTCAAAGGGGTTTGCCTCAACGGGTCTTGTTGCACCGATGGCAGGCACACCCCTTCGCTCTGGTTCACATTGTCATTGAAGGATGGAAGTGATGACACAACACAGCTGGTACCCGGCTTCTTTTCACGATCGAGGAGCTCCACCACCTCTTCTACTTCCTCACAACAACTAGAGTGCGATGGCGACGCACGGGGAGGTGATTGCTTGACAAGACATACATCAGCCTCGTTGTTGACCTGTGGGCGACATGCTGATTCTGCTCCCACGACAGCGTCATTCGCAGAGGGACGAAGGCCTCGCACGATGCTGGACGACTTCTCTGTAGCCCCCCCCATAGTAGAGGATATAGGGTTAGTGGTGCCCCCGCTCAGTGCATCGTCGCAATTTGCCGCCCGCAGCGGAGGAGGTGGCAGCCATCGTTTCGGCGTGCCCTGCCTCTCAGTCTGCCCTGAAGGCGGCGGCGGTGGCAACTTACCCACCTGCTGGAGATGCTGCTTTTGGGAAGAGGGCGAGGGAACTGCTATGCCACACGGTGAAGGTGTCGCACGCCTGCTTGATTCATCGATAGGAGCGGCGAGTGGATGTTTTCTCTTCTTCATTCTATCGCTGGGCTGCGACTGTGTATGTGCACGACACCGTTCTTCACTTGTGGTGTCTCTGGCGGCAGCGTCTTCCTGCCATTGTAGCAACCGCGAAATAAAAGAATCGGAAGTCAGTCCCGATTTCCCCAAGAGAGAAGAGCGCTCTTTTCCATTACCCTCATCCGCCTCCGGCATCACCGTCCATCCCTGTCTTTGTACCTGCTGAGCAAAGGGCGATTGCGGTAGAGGCTCCGGCACAGCCTCAAACTGTTGTTGCGTTCGCGACGGTGGTGATGCGTCACTCATCATGGCGACTTTGACAGCCCGCAAAACAAAGTCTCTTCTCGCTTTTGTGGCAGCTGAGAGAATTGGCTTTACCGTGCGCTGCTGCTTCTGCTCCTGCTTCGGGGAAGTGGCAAGGTCCATCCATTGCAGAGCCGTGAGAAAGCGTCCCGTTGTTTCCAAGTCGCGCAGTACGTTCTTCACAAATCTCTCAATATGTGAGGGCACTTGAAGACGGTCTCCGCTGCCTGTTGCAAGTGACCGTAGGACTTTCTCCGCACTGTTTCCTGTGGATTGCAGCACTTCCAAGAGCATTACCGCATCATCCTTAACATCCAGAAGCTGCTGGTGCCACCGTCGCTCGCACAATTTCCAAGCTGCACGCTCCCGCCGTAGCACTTCCGCCTCCGCTTCTAACGCCTTCAACTCCGCCTCATGAGCGCGACACCGTGTGCGGAGCTCATCGTTGTCTCTCCGTGCATGCGACAGGCGCAACTCCGCATGACGGTCACTCTCAGCGTGGCGCAGCACAAGACCTTCTGCATGGGAGGCGAGACGGGCGAGCTCGCGCCGGGCAGTAGCTGGCCAAGTTGCAACGTCTTCTGCTACTGGAAGTGGGGGAGATGCTGTCGATGACGGTAACGAAGAGGATGGCAGGGAGGTTAATTCACCGCCAGATAAGAGACGCTCCTGCATCTCACGTAACCTCTGTGCCACTGCTGCCTTTTCTGCCTCTGCAAGACGGTTGTCAAGGAGATGAATATGTGTCTGCGCGGCCTCTAGCTCCTCCGTGATAGACTTCGCGTGAGCCTCCGCTTCATGTTGACGGATGTGCGCAGCCGCGAGCTCCTCTATCAGCTCCTCCACATCACCATTTACTTGTGCGAGCACCGCGGTGGATTCCCGCTGCATGGGGATATTCCCTGACCGAGTCACACGCTGCTCAACAATGCCCCGCAGACGCAGTAGCTCTTCCTCACAAATACGCAACTCGCGTTCCTTTGCATGCAACGCCGCACGTAAACCAGCCACACCGCACATGGCCTTACTCTCTACCTCCGCAACTTGCTGTAGCCTTCTAACTTCTGCATTGGCAGCTTCTAGTAGTTCCTCAAGCCGCTCCTTTCGGTATTGCAGTTGTGCCCGTTCCCGCATTGCCTTCACAAGATGGCGTGCTAGGCTCTCCGTTTTTTGTGTCAGCTCGCGGAGGGCGCCGTCCTGTGTTTCAAGCTCCCTCTGCAGAGCGTGGTTTTCATGTACAAGCTCATGAAGCTCGCCCACGGCAGAGGAGGGCGCTTCCTCTTCCTCTTCCTCCTCATCCTCCCCCCTCGCTGCTGTCACCTCTAGACGTGGTGACACAGCGTGTTCATTGCGGCGGTGCCCTTTGCTCTTGTTGGGAAGCCTTGTGCCGCTGGAGGAGTCCGATGTGCCGTCCCCCAACTTGTGCAACAAGTCCTCTCTCCTCGATGTTGCATCCGTTGCATGGGCAGAAACAGAGTTGGGATGATTGGCAGCGGGGACAGTGCTATTTTCCTGCAAAGGGCCTTTCGGTGGTGGTTGAACACGTCGTAGTATCAGCTTAATCAACTGCTCGTCCTCCTTCACGTCGAAATTCTCTTGCGATGTGCCCCGCTCTAGAGCAACACCATTCTCAGAGGCTTGATGGGCGACCCGCCTTAACTGCAATGGCACAGGCCTCAAGGGCGGGCATCGTTCTTCACCCTCTTCTTTCATTGCATAGGGATGACATGTCTCCGCCTGCGCCGCGCTGAGAAATGCCTCCACGAGGCGACGATCCTCTTGAAGTGCCGCGCCGTCAGGGAGCGGCATCGGTGATGGCAGCGGATGCAACGGCTTCGATCCGGGTATCGTCTTTTTGCTTGCTGGTGCCATCTGTGTCGGCTGAAGTTGTGGTCGATCCCTACTGCTTTCCTCACGTTGTAATGCTGTCACCTCTATGGTTGATGTGGCCTCTCTGACGACGGCGCGCGGTGGTAGCATTGGTGGCGGTGGTGCCAGCAACGGCGTTGAACAGATGCCGTTGCGGCTCGTACTGCGCGCCACGCTGTACGCCACCGCGGCCGGGTCCTCGTAGATCAAGTAGTTTTCTACAGACCGTGGTGTCGACACAATGCCCGATTCGTGGCGCTTTAGATGACCATTATGAGTCTCATCTTGCCGCAAAGCCGCTTCGCATAGACGCTGAAGGGCCATCTGCCGCTCCTCTAACTGGTGCAGCCTCGACCTCCGTTCGTCTTCGTTATTACCAGCGTGGAATGTCTCATCCATTTGTTGGAGGACCTCCTGCAAAGCCTTGGCATCACGGTCAATAACTGCTGTTGTCGATGTTGCTGTCGGCAGCGGCGGGGATGGAGGCGGCGGCAGCGGCCCAACACAAGCACGCCTTGGCGAAGGTGAGAGCTCCCCACCCGCCCGTCTATACATTATCCTCTCTAAATCTAACTGTTCGTGTGTTTGTATTGCAGCCAAACCAGAAATATAGAGCGGGCATTTTCAAAGAAACGGCTACGATAATTGGGAAACTTGGTACACGTAATGCACAGTTATTCACCTTATCATGAGGTACAATACAAGGATCGCTACAGATGCACTGCAGCACCGATATGTCTTCCGATGTCAAAAGTACCACAACAACACGAAGGCCAGCCCTGACAGCATGCTCGCGCGCGCGCGAGAGAGAGAGAGAAGCAACTAAAGGAAATCATTGACATACGGAGGTCACAAACTAACCCGATTCCCATTTCCCTCCAGATGCGCTCCTTCCGCCGGGTAAACCTTTTTCGCCCACAGCTCATCGTTCGCATTACATCTCTCTCTCTCTCCACTTCATCACTATTGGCTTCCTCACCGCAGTCAACCCAGACACCATCCAGCTGCCTCCCTAGTCTGTTTGCGTTCCACGCGACACCATATGGTTCAAGGGCACAATGCGCCGAATGGTTCTAGAACCTGTAGTAGCATTTGCCACGCCGCTGCGGTGTGCGCATGGGAGATGCGAATTCCGAAGAGACACCGCTGACGACAGAGAGCAGGATCGCCTCGTATTCATGTCACTGTCACTGCTACGGCGGCTTCCGCTGTTCTTGTTTTTTACCCCAATATTGTCGTCCCGGCTGCCACCACCAGTGCTCCACACGGGTGTATGTGAGATGTCTTTCCTGCCCACTCCCTTTTCTTCTCTCTGTTTATGTTGGGCGAGCTCCCACACCTCCCTGCAACACCGCGAGAGGAGCTGCCTCCGCAGTGCTTTCAACTCCGCGTCAGCTTCCCGCCAGCCGGCGTCGCGGCGTCCCACGACTGTCAGTAACATTTGCATGCGATCTTCGATTGCATCGGCTGAGGCGGACAGAGCACCAAGGCGGCGGAGGTACTGTGCCGTGCTATAGTCCATCAAGCATCACCACAAACACAAATGTAAATACCAGCCTTCTTTGCAAGACAATGTCAACAACAACAACAACAAAAAAGCAATTAAATAAATAATAACTACGGCAGCCATAGTCAGTGAATGTAAAATAAGGAAGGAACTTTTTCATTGGGAGTAGATGTGTAGTAATCTTATCTTTCTCTCGTTTCACTTTTTCAAGCAGTTCCGTTGTCTTTTCTTTAATATGTCATATTTCCTTTCATGTCAATTCCTTCCTTTTACTGTCAACCTTATGGAGTGTGCAATTTGCGTGGCGTTCCTTAAAGGCTCTCCAGGTCTTTTGCCCACTCCGGGCGACACAGCATCTAGCTGCATGACCCAGTGCTAATGTCACATAATACCAATGACCTTATATATATATAAGTATTAGTCAGATGCACATATGTATAGAGAGGTATACATCCATATAAACAAGTTTCTTTGAACCCCACAAAGAAATTCATATTCTTGTGATAATTCCATTTTTTGGTGTTCATGCAGATGCACAAAAAAAAAAACGTGCAGCAAAAAATATCAATGCATTTAGAGGGGACAATAAGTCTTTTTTTTGCTTCGTCCCAAACAAATCTAATATACATCAAAGAAGAAACCTATCCCATTAGGCCCGTTCGCGATTGTCTCTAAACCACAGACTCCCTACGACCATCTATGCACATGGTTCATGTTATCCTCCTTTCTTACGTGTACCGTACATACCCAAATTTGCGTGGAACGTATGCGTTCAGAGTGCAATGATATACAAGAAGACATCACCGAAGGATTATAATTATAACAGAATGATCACCACCATCGTTCCGAAACTTAGATGGAATTCAATCGCTACATTTCCCCTAACTGGATTACATCATATCCCTTAAAGCATTTTCTCTGGATTGCGGCGGATAATACGCACACCACAAGCCACACCGGTAGTGTTAGCCAATAACTGCTTCTCGTCACGTGCACGGTCACCTGAGTTGAGGACCGAGTGCTGCCATGATATTTTTCCGATTTCTTTTTCCGGCACCGCCAACACGTGTCTCTCATTTCCTCGGAGGAACGTCGACAATCCACTGAGGCTGCCGTCGTCGTCATTATCGCCGTTCATGAGTTCTTCCACAACGGAGAGCGGCGTCACGGGGACCACAGCGGGTAACGAACCGCCGACCTGTTGGCGCGAGACCACCGCCACAGGCACCGACGATCTTCGGCGTAACGCGCAGAGATCCTCCACATCGCCGCTGCGGTCCACAACGTCCCACCGAAGTATTTTTTCTAACGCATCACACCCACCACGCCCCACGAACTGTGGACTGTGAATGGTGACCACCCGCTCCTCGTTCGCCGCGCATGTTGACCTCGGGATCGGCATGACGCCCCCAGTCGGTGTGTGACAGCTGGCGTGCGAGGGATGCAAAGGCCTCGATCGCTTGGACGAGAATACAGACGACCGTATCACCTGGCGGTCTGCACCTTGGGCACCGGGCGTTGAGTTCGTCCTAATGGACCAGCTGCTCAGTGAGTCAGACGTTTTGGGTGAGTCCTGGACGCCCAACCCCCTTCCGCGTCGACTGCAGCCATGCTTTAAAGGACCGTCCCGGAAAGATACGAGAGCAGCGACACATTCGTCTGTAACGCTGGTAAAAGAGTTGTTCATGCGTTGCTCGAGTGACACAGGGGGGAGCCAAGTGGGCAGGGCACCGACAGCAGCTGGTGAGTCTCCTCCCAAAGCCAACTGTAGCTGCAAAGGACGTTGGGCACGCGCAGAGAAACCACTGCGCGGAACGACTCGCTTAGAGACAATCGCATGCAGATCCCTTGGCGCTTGCACTTGTACTGTTGCTGCTGGTCCTGCAGCTTCCATAGCAGTGACTTCGAGAACGGTCGTAATGCTTTCCGCGACATCACTGCACTGACGGAGATGGCCACAAAATTGCCCCGCCCCGTTGCTTCCAGAGCACGGCGACACTTCACTCATTGCACGCGGAAAAGGAGGCTGCTCCCTCTGTTGCGCTACACACGGACTGCCCACCTTGTTAGAGAGTGGCATAAAGGTGGCGACCAGAAGCGCCGACTCTTCCTGCAGCTTCAGCGGTGACATGGGCGACACCTTAGGCATCCTCACCGCCCCTCTTTGAGGCATGCTGTCGGTTAAGAACCTGGACGGCCGTCTTACTAAAAAAGGCGAGAAGGGGAGCAAATAAAAAAAAAAAAAANAAAAAAAAAAAAAAAGAGCGAGAAAGGGACGGACAGGTACAGCTTTTGGCAGACTTAACTGTTACTACAAGTCCAGGCTACTCTGTCGAATTGTACCACTTCTCTATTCTATCCTGTCGTCTCTTCACACAGCACAGCACTCCCCCTCAAAAGGATTCATCGCTGCTTCCCCGGCGGCCGAACAAAATATCGCTGTCAACATCATCATCCGAATCTCGCGTGAAAAGTGTGTTTGCCGCCACCTCTTCTGTCAGCTGTCGTTGGCGGGCCGAAGCCGCAAACGTGCCTAACGACGGAATTCCTCGTCTCCCGATTCCGTCGTCGTCAGAGCCGTCACGCTCGTCTGCCTGCCGTTGGAGCAGAACTGAGCGCTGTGAATTTGCAGCCCACGCTATCCCGCGGCGGCCAGTGTCCTCGTCAGCCTCGATGGCTGTGCGTCCGCTTGTTTCTTCGCGACACAATGAATTTTGTTCGGCAAACACCGACGCAGGAGTTGAGAGCACCGTTGCAGTTGCTGCGGTTGCAGTGACCGCCTTCTTGTCCGCGGATGGCGGCGAGGACGCGGAGGACGAGGGCGAAGACGATGATGACTGAGTGGATGAGTGGCCCTTGGGCGTAGAATCGACTGATCCCTTCGAGTGTGTCGGTGATGAGGAAGAGGTAGGTGCTTTCTCATTTCTCGCGGTCTCTTCTTTTACTGCACTCCTGCGCCGTTCCTCGCTTTCATCATCGCCGCCACCTTCCGTCGCCCTTGTCTCCGTCTCTTCCACCTCCCGAAGTGGTACCGCTATGGCCGCAGCGGGACTGTCGGGCGGAGCAGAAGCAGCAGAAGGAGGAGGAGTGGCAATAACAGGTGATGTGGAATCAGGCAGTGCGGTGGCTAATGCCACTCTCTCCCTTTTCTCATCTTCCTCCGTTCGCTGCAGGACGTCTTGAATGACAGACGCCCCCACTGGAGTCACCCCTTGCTGCTGCGCCACCGTGTCGTCCAGCTCCCCCTCCCCCACAGCGGTTGCTGGTTTTGTTCCTGTCGTTGTTGTTGCTGCGGCTGGAGCTGCTGGTGGCGGCGACCTCGTTAAGTTCCAAGCCGATTGCCACGTAGCCTCACGCGTTTGAGGTGGCTGTGTGGAAAATGCTGCTGAAGGGGGCATCGCCGCGGACACACGTTGCTGCAGTTCCTCTGCCTTTTCGAGTACGTCGCGTAACGTGGAGGTCCTCCCCTCCTCCGCTTCGCCACGCCAGCCGGCGACAGCATGTGCGCCGATGAGCGACTTGACACGAAAGCGCAGACGGCTGATCTCCTCGTCTTTCAACAAAAGCTCCGCGACGTGCTCGGCCTGCAGCCGCCGCAGATCCTCAACGCGGCGCCACTCCCGATCGCGTGCCGCATCCGCCTCGGCGAGCCGCACTCCGCAGAGCTCCTCGTACTGCTGCGCCTGCGCCGTCAGGACGCGGATCTGCTGCTTCGCGTCGTGGAGACGGCCCTCTAACGCCGCTGTCGCCTTGTCACGTTCCTCCAGCAGCCCTTGAAGCTCGCGGTGCCGCCGGTCCAGTTCAACACGCTGGAGCTCCAGATCCTCACGGGCCTGGGCCAATCTTGCCTGCTCCGACTCCACGCGCCGCACACTCGCTCGCTCTACCTCACGCAGCTCCTCCATTTTGTGCTGCAGCAACACACCGTAGTGATCCTCCGCGGCGCGCCGCACCTCATGCAGCTGTTGCTGCTCGAACGCCCGCAGCCGCTGCTGGTACGCTTGTTCCATCTGTGCCTGCAGTTCCTGGCGGTAGGCAGCCATGCGGCGGTCCACTTCCTCACGCGTCGACTGCCCGAGTTGGGAGAAGCGGAGCGCGTACTTTGCGTCAACCGCCGCGAGGCGAATCTCGAGTGGCGGAGGCGACGATGCTGTGGGGTCATTAGCGTCTGTCTGCGTTCCAACTGCGGAGCCCGGCGGCCGTCCGCGTGAGTCACCTACTTGTCGCATGTGCATCTCTACGACGCGCTGGAAGAGACTTGTGTCCTGCCGCTGCGTGGCTGCAGTACTAAAGTGCAGCATTCCTGCCAGTGCGTCGTCACCAGCCGCCCCGAAGGAGACGTCCGCCTCGCTGCTGAAAATGGCAAGGGAGAAGGTCCGGTTGGTGAGACGGAGGTGATTTTCCACGAGTGCGTCCGCGAGGCGTTGCGTCCATGCGCTATCATCATCATCTGACTCTTCGCGCCCGTTCCTTATCACTGCGGCAGTGTCTGAAAAGCCTTGCCGCCGCCTTAGCAACTCGGACACAATGACACTGCGAAGCTGCGTTTTGAGCGAGCCTAGAGCCCCACTGGACCGCAGAAATTGTTGCATTCCTGCACGCAGCTCCGAAACGGACAGAGCTCCACCGCCAGCGGAGGTTGCAGCAGCAGCTGCGGTGGCGGTGGCGGTGGGCGACGCCACAGCGTTCCCCGCTGCGTGGTGTGACGAAGAAGGGATCATGGCCTTTGCCCCTTCGCAGTGACTTTTGCGACAAAACAAAAAATGAGAGAGGCGAGGCAAGGAAGAAAGAGAACGTCATAGTCAGGATATGCTATGCCCCCTGTGTGCTATATTTCTCTTGTTTCTTTTGGTTGGGCATGTGCCCCCCAACCCCAGCAACTGTATTTCGTCGGAGCAGCGAAGCACCTTTATGTGTCCACGTTGTAGCGGCCACCAAGGCGCAGCTCGCGTGAGAAGAGCGGCGACGACCACAACAGCTGCGCCGCCGAGCACACCGCATCGTTCTGGGGCAAATGCTGTGGTAACAGCCCAACATCCCCGAGGAGGGACTGGAGGCTGAGAAGGTGCTGCTGCAGCAACGGGTCCACAGATGCACCCTCTTCGAGGCCCGCCGTCACGTGCATTTTCTCCAACAGACGCCGCCGCACACCGCGGATCACCTCCCGAGCGAGGGGAACGACATCGAACGTGAGGCTGTTGCGCTGCGAGACGAGGGACGCGGTTACAGCTGTCCGCTGAGCTGCCCATCGGACCATTGTCGACTGCGCCCACTCCACAACTCGGCGTCGCCACAACTCACTCGTGCGGCTGACCGCATCCGCCTCCGGACGCGACACAAGTTCGGGCGGCATAAGGCACTGCGCCACGGCGAGAACCGCGTCGTGTGGGTTGACAACAGCATGGAAGGACGCCGCACCGCGTTGCCGCAGCTGCGCCCGCTCGGCAACACTTTCATCAGGTCGGTGCCCCCCCACTCGCCGCGTTGCCGCCAATGCCATGGCGCCCTCCAGGTCACAGGACGACGCGACCGTGTCGGCGAGGCTGTTCAGCAGTAGTGTTGTGAAGAAGCGGTACGCCTTTACGCGGACGTCGTGTTCGGTGCCATCGCCGCCGCGCAGCCCCTGTGGACTCCCCTGCAGCACGAGGCCGAACTGGTACGCCACGGCGGCAAATACGGAGTAAAACAAAGGGGGCGAGACGTCTTCCTCTGTGACGTGCCGCCGCAGGTACGCGTTCAGCACCTGCGGCACCCACTCCAGCGGGTAGAATTCATAATGGATATCGTCCATCAGCACCTTGAACTCCGCTGTGAAGTCTATCACGGGCTCGCCAGCAACCCTGTCCCCGTCCGCATGATGTCCGCCACGTGTCACAACGACGGGTCGACTCAGCATAGGCTCATGAAGAAAAGGGAGCAGTAGTTTCTCAAAGAGAGGCCCTAACTGTCGTGTGAGTTGCTGCACGACGCTTACCGTCTGAAGTTGCGTGTACACAACAAGAGATGCCAGAAGGACTTCGCAGCGGTAGCGTAGCAGTAGTCGGTTCTTCTCTTCTTCAGACATACGCACTGTGCGAAGTAGTTCACGGGTATCACCATCGCCATACTCCCGATCATTGTTCCCTTCGTCGTCATCGTCGTTGTTGTTATTCGAGCGACTACCAAGCGCCTGAAGCTGAATAATCATCGGCTGCACGTCGGTACTGCGCTGCAGGACTCGCTCCGTTTCCTGAGAGGTGGCTCCACCGAGGCCGGACCGCTCAAAGAAGTCAAGTAATGCTTCCCCTGCTGCTTGGTAGTACGCAGGCATGACAAAAAAAGGCTTGCGACCTCCACTACCACCACCATTATCACTCTGCGCGCCGTTGCCATTGCCGTTATGTCGCTTCGTAGGGAAGGCGGCATCGATGAGCGTGTCGAGACTCTGTGGAATAACACACCGGAGACGTGCCATGTATGTGCGGCGACTGAGGGCTACCAAAAGCTCTCCAAATACGGCACGACTGCTTATTCGCACCCCATCAGTCGTCACCGCATTCTCTTGCTGCACCTTGTCAAGCTGTGTGGCCCTACGCAAACACTCCGACCAAGGCCACTCAAACCCAACCTGCTGCAGCAGCGTGGGCACGAAGTGTTGAATAAGCGCGTCTATCTCATGAAGGGTTATTGCACGTGCGGCAACAGGACGAGCAGACATTTCCAATTCCTGCTGTTGTTGTTGCCGCTCACCACTACCGCTTTTCGGCTTCAGTGAACCAGACGTTGCAATAGGAAGAGGGGCATGGGCCGCCGTCGCACCCCCAGCGACAATAGCAAAGATAAGCTCCTGTACACAGGTAACTATAGCCGTAGCGAGGAGAAAATTAGACACCGCCCCCTTCTTCTCACGCACCAAGGCCTCTTGCAGCTCGACGAGACTGTGCAACAGAAGCGCAGCAGATGCCAACGGGCAGCGCCCTGTACCATCTTCCCTAAACCGACTGTACGCAGTGGAGTACTCTAGAACACCCATGATGACACCGCACGCGCGGGCCGCGGCAGTCCTGCCAGAACTCTGATTTACGTACGCCAGCAACATGCGGGCACACGCCATCTTGACACGGCCAAAGACTTCCACCGCTAGCGCGGCGAAGAGACACGCGCGATGTGTCTCAGCAATGTTCGCGTCATCGTCTGTGGATGTTACACCCTCCACGTCGAACAAGAGAGAATAATGTGCCTCTGAAACATCTGACGACAGCATCGCTTCCAGGGCGTTCTGCATCAGCCTCTCTGGCGCCTTTCCCTTGACACACCATTGTTTTCGGTGTTGCTGTTGCTGCACAATCGCCACCACTTCCCGTACCATCTCATCCAGAGAGGAGGTACAAGACGACGAACCTACAACAGAAAGATGGCTGCGAACAGCCAGTTCTCGCAGAACGCGGCCAAAGCACGACTCTGCCACACAAGGAAGTGGGGGATATGCACAGTTGCTCGCTCCCTCCGCCACCGCCGCCTTCACATGTGTTTCAACCTCCTCCGTCTCAGCGCCGCGCTGCCGCCACTGCACATCGTGAACCACCACCGCGGAAAGGCCCATCAACTCCAAAGATTCCTCAAATGAAAGAGTAAAAGCTTCATTCTTCTCGCGGCTGTTGCCGCCACTACCCGACGGCGCAACGCACAACGGGGGCGTACAGTGAAAGAACGGGCGCGTCCAGGCTGTGAGGTAGAAGTACCACAGCCACTGGTCCGCCGTGACTAGTGCGCCAGCGTTGCCATTCACCGCAGTGCCGTAGCAAGGCAACAACAGCGAGAGTGGAGGCGACTTTTGGTCCGCCGCCTTGGTGGCATCCGTCCTCAACGCCATCGTACCACCCACACACCGGAGAGAGAAGTGATACACGTGCTTCGTGGGGGTATTCTTGCCTCTTCCTTTTTTTTTGCCCTGACGCTCTGATCGTTTTCCACTCTTGGAACTGTCGCTGTGAGATGTGTATATTCGTTCCTCGCCTTAATTAATTATTGGGAGTCAAAGAGGAGTGGGAGTTTGCGGGAACCCGTTCAATCTCTCCTGTAGTGATCGAGATACTTCTCTATCTTTCGCACAAATGCCACCAAGAGACAAAAGGGAGTGAAGAACAAGATGATAAAGCCAGCGGAACGAAAAATCGCAAAACGCTTGGGACGCCCAACGATGCCCACGAACACAATGCAGATTCCCCATCACCTCATACAACGATCCTTGGGCCCACACCTTTGACCAAAGGCACTCGTTGCTACCATAACCATTTGGTTGCGTGCACAGTGATCGTTCACGAGGAAGGAGTATGGGGGAGGGACGGGTGGTGGTGTAGAAAAAAAAAAANAAAAAAAAAAACAAAAAAAAAAGAGTTTGGAACAACAAAACATTGCTTGCACATATGCGTGTCCCTGTTTGCTCTTTTTTTTGTTTTCTCTCGATCTGTCTGTCTGTGTGTGCGTGCGAACTGGCAGCACCATACGCCTACGCACAGACGAACATCATATATATAAATATATATATATATATATAACAACACCCACACTGACGCTTCCCCGCCCAGTGGTACTATTGCTACCTCCGCGGGAGGAGTGAAGGTGGTGCGCTGGGGAAGTCTCAGGGCGTTCCTCTATCGTTTTTCAAACCATTGCTTTCACCGGAGAAAATCCCACAACAAAATGCGCTCGAAACGAAAAGTAAAAGAGGTGTTGGGACACCACCATGGAAACAAAAGAAAAAAAAACACCAAAACAAAAAAAAACACGAATGCTAAATGCCTAAAAGCACGAAAGCTACATTCACAAGCACGGAGAAAACAAAAAAAAAAACAAAACCCACCTACCCAGGGAAAAAAAAAACAACAGTACTACCCCGTGCACGCCCCTACATCCGTCGCTACAACGGAATCTAACGCACATACTAGTATCCTCCCCTATCCTCGTCCTTACTTGGCCTTCGTCAGATCCTGCAGCTTCTTCTCCATCTCTGCTATTTGATCCTTAATGGAATCAATTTTCTGATTGCGCTCGTCAACTGCAGACTTGAGCTTCTCGTGGTGGTCGACACGCACCTTCTTAATGAGAGATTTCATGATCTCACGCTGGCGCTCGTGAGCGTAGCGCTCTTCCGGCGTACGTAGCTTCTCATCGAACTCTGCCTCGATCCAGCGGTCGTCGTCATCAAGGTTCACCTTGTGCTTCGTGTCACTTGAATCTTCGTCGCTTGACATGTAGCGGGGGTATGAACGAGCAGCAACCGCGGCGATGAAGCGTGACCCGGCAAAGCGTTGCATATTTCTGGCTGGTATTCAATTGGTGAGGCTGAAAAAGTGTAATATTTGAGTGTTTGTGCCTACAAGCTAAGTCTTGCGCGGCGGAAAGAAGTGTGGGGATATGCGTGACGAAAAGAACCAAAAAAAAATAATCCACGTAGAACATGACATAATCAATTGAAACAAGATGGAATGATAAGTGGCACAGCTCAACACGATACAGTAGAATACTGCATCACTAACAGTACCTTCTGTATTTTCCCCCTCTCTCATTCTCTCTCCCTCTCTCTCTCGCATAGACATACACACACGTTCACTCACAGCGTTGTGGCACCCATCGCCGCTGCTAGGACGGACTGGTCAAGTGTGACGGCGCCCACTGTTCGTCGTGCCATGCGCTCCTTCCCCTTCTTCTGGTCATTCCACTTCTTTTGCTTGCGTGTGATATCGCCGGCGTGAATTTTCGCTGTGACGTCCTTGCGGTACGCCTTCACTGTCTCCCGTGCCACGATCTTCGCCCCCACCATTGCCTGGAGCGGGATGTCAACAGCGGTGCGGGAGAGGTTTGACTTCAGACTGGAGACGATGCGTTTGCCCACGGCGGATGCCTCGTTCCGCGGGCATATCACGGAAAGTGCAGAGACACGCGACTTCTGCACCACCACTTCGACCTTAACGAGATCCGCCTCCTCATACACCGCGTCATCATAGTCCAATGAGGCGTAGCCGTGCGAAAGGCTTTTTACAACGCTGAAAAAGCCGCGAACAAGGTCCGAAAGCGGCATCTTATAGCGTACAACTACTCGTGCATCATCGAGCACCCGCATGTCCAGCTGTTCCCCGCGAAATTGCCTCAGCGCCTCGCTATCAATCGCCTGAAAGTACTCGCGTGGGGTAAGAATGGTGGCTGTGACGTACGGCTCCATATAGCACGCCACACCTTCATGCAACCACCGCCACGTGTGAACCGTAAGCGGCTTCAGCAACTCGTCTTCGCCGTCGCTCACATCGCGGTACTTGTACTGTACAATTGGTGGCGTAACGAGAACCCGCTGCCCAAACTCCGCCAGGAGCCGCTCTTGGAATACCTGCATGTGTAACATACCCAGGAAGCCGAGTTGCAACCCAGCCCCCAACGCCGGGCAGTCCAGAGGCTCGATCGTGACAGCCGGATCGTTGACCCGTAACTTCTCCACCGCCTCGCGTAGATGTGTGATGTAATCGCCTTCATCTGGGTAAAAGCCGGCAAACACAACCGGCTGCACACGCTTAAAGCCACCCACTGGCACAATGCTATCACGTGTAAACTTTTTCGTCGGTAGAGTGTAGAGTGTTTCACCCACCATGACATCCTCGCGTCGCAGCTGCGAAAAGACAACGTAGCCAACCATACCCGTCGTGAGCGCCGCGGTGGGACGAAGCTCGGGGTGTATGATGCCGACTTCCCGCGCCTCGAAACGCTTCTGCAGGTGGTAGAAGGACACTAGCGTCTTGGCGGTTAGCGTACCCTCCATGACACGGATGAGACATGTGACGCTACCATCGTCGCCATTGCTGTTACTGATATTATTGTTGCTTCCGCCATCGCCCGTCGACGAACGGCGCAGGCCACCACCGCACTCGGAGGTCCACGAGTCGAACAGCAGCGCACGCAGCGGTACCAACGTAGACTCCATTTCAACCCTCTCCGCACTGCCAGGTGGGAACGGCGGAAGCTGCCGCACGTCAGATAGCCCCACCGCACCGGGCGGCGGTGGTACACGCTCGATTATAGCACAGAGAAGCGCCTCTACGCCGCATTGCGCCTTGGCGCTCGTAAAGAGCACCTCACGGCGCAGCAGGCCGGTTGAGTCTTCCAGCTCCTGCAACGCACGGTCGACCGGGACGTCATTGAGCACAGTGTCCATTTTGGTCAGCACTGGTAGTATCGACAGGTCGCGCTCCAGTGCCATATGGAAGTGCGCCATTGTCTGCGCTTCGATACCCTGTGCAACGTCCACAAGCAGAAGCACTGCCTCAGAGGCGCCTAGGCTCCGTGAAACCTCGTACTGGAAGTCGACATGACCAGGGGTGTCAATGAGGTTCAGTAGGTATTCCTCCCCGTTGTGCTTAACAAAGATGGAACACGTCTGTGCCTTGACGGTGATACCGCGCTCGCGCTCGACGAGGAGGCGGTCAGTGTACGTACCCACCAGAGGGCCGCTCAGCACACCCGTGCGCCGCAGAATGGCGTCGGTCAGTGTCGTCTTGCCGTGGTCGACGTGAGCTACGACGGCGAAGTTGCGGATGTGCGTCCGTGGAAAGGAGGCGAGCCTGGCAAGGGAACGGCACGCCTTGTCATCGTGCAACGGCCGTGGCGCACCCATCGTTGCCGCCGACGGGGCGATGTGGTATTTCTGCATGGAGAACGAGGAAGACACCGGAAACGACGCCGCCTCTTCTTGCGTAGTATTCTCCGAATTGGCGGACGATGAGGTTGCAGTTGCTGCTGCTGCTGATGGCATTGTGGTGGTGCTGGTGGTGGTGGAGGCACACCAACGGACAGAGTGACGCAGACCGCTGATTGCGGTGCGCCCATGCTTCTGTCGCAGTGTCAGGAATGAGCAAAACCCCAACCTCATGATCCCTCCTTTTCCACAACCACTAAGAGCTTTCTCTACCTGGTGCCGCTATGGGGCAGAGTACTCCTTCCAGAAGCAAGTGAAAGCAAAAGCACACACATACACACCCAAGTATTGAGAGAGGGAAGAAGTATCTCCTATTCTCTTCTTTTTTAATTTATTTCCCCATTTTCTGCATGTATTGTCGTACAAGCATGAAACCACACCACTTTCATCATCATATACCGCATCGCTCTTTCGGTTTTCATCGACTGCCCAGCATATGTAGGTACGCATGTGTGTACATGGCCAACTATATCTGTTTTACATCCCCCATCCGGCCCATATATCAGACCACGCGTGAAGGCGGTGAAGTTCGTATACTCGTGTTTACATCACATTGCCAACGTCACTTTTCTTCCCCCATGTCTTCTGGCTAATGCTGTCGGAGACTGCCCTTTATCATGGCGTCTCTCTTTCGTTTTTTCTGCAGCATGGTCATGCGTGAAGCTGTGTACATCCAGCCACTCATACCCGCAGACGTGGACTCAGCATTAGGGGAAACATCGGTACGCTCGTCTTCGAGCCGAACGCGACCCATCACGTTCTCAACAACACTTACTGCCCTATTGGCACGAGTAGGAAGAGCAGCAGGGGTCCTGTCGCCAGTATTGCGGCTGCGAGCCTGCTGCACAAGTGTGATAACACCGGCATCGTCGCTGCCTTGTCGCAGGCGCGAAAGGAAGAAACGCCGCGTCGCCTCTTCCTCGTGCGCTGTGTGCATATCGATGCATGCCTGCGCGAGACTCCGAAGCTCCGTCGTGTGAGCATCTACATCAAGCAGCACCTTCAGCAGCTGATCCGCATCAGGTACAATAGGCACAACAGCGGGCTGCTGAGTGACATCCGCAGCATCACCCGCACTATTGTTGTTGTCTTTGTTTTTCTCGAGAGGCACGATGCACGCGCGGCCGCGCAGGTCGACACACTCTGCAATGGCGCTCCAGATCTCATCTCTGCACACTGATGGAAGCGCAGCAACGTGCAGCAACTTCACCCGCTCAAGTGCACTTGATTTTACGTCAACGAGACGATCAAAACCCACTGCGGCAAGACAGGCATAGATCTTCACACGCAATCCGAGCACGTGACATAGTGAAGCAGCAAGCCGTTCGCGGGCCTGCTGTGTGGCTGAATCGTTTTCCTCCTTTTCGCTCGTCACCCCAGCATCGCAACACTCAAGCTCGCGGTAGCGATTGCGCAGCTCCGCCGTAACTATCTCGCGGCTGTGCAGGCCAAGTATCTGCAGACCCCAGCAATCGGCGCGTAGAACCGGCAGATCGACCGTCTTGTCTGTTTGGCGGAAGCTGCCGCCCGCGCTGCACTGCTGTGACACTGCCGTCAACACTTCGCTACCGTTGTTTCTATTTTCCGCATTCTCTTCGACATTCACCACACATGCCTCCTGTTGCTGCTGCTGCTGCGGACGTGGCTCCTGTATAGTGTGCGCGAGCGGCTCATTATTCGTGGCGGGCCCCTCAATCCAAAGACGCAGTAGAAGCTGCGTCGCGTTTATGCAGCCGTCATCCTCCATGTCGCGCGGTTCCTCCGTAGCGTAGCTGCACCACTGCAGAAACGCCTCCCGTGCCTCCGCGCACTTGTGCAGCAGGTCGGCAAGAATCGTTAGCGTAGGTGTCAATGGGGACTGGTCAGCAGCGCCACACTCAGAGGTTTCTGCGGCAGGGCTACCAATACATTGCCCAGCAAAAACCTCTACAATGGAAAGGAGGATGTGAACACCATCTTCCTGCACGAATTGCTCCTGTATCACATCATTGCCGAGAACGAAGGCTCGCACACAGTCGAGGACCGCGCGGAGGAGCTCGCTATTTTCCTCGCCCACTCCAAGAGGCGATGACAGCGAAAACCGTACCAGCTGAAGAAGAAGCGATACTCCACCTAGTGACATGAACGCTTCTTGCGTCATCGCAACGTTATCAGAATTTCCTCCAGTGAGGTTGTACAGCAAGGAGAGGCAATAAATAACGACATCGCGCGCCTGAGCAGTGAAGTAGACATGTGTGTTGTCGATAGCCTCAAGAGCAACTTCATCCTCATTTCCTGTTGCAATCACCACCACTGCACCTCCCTCCTCCCGCGATTCCTGTTGCATTTCGTTTTGTCGTCGATCAGCCCTCTCCTTCCCTTCTTGCCGGTGGTTTGAGGAGGTGTGGTTCTTTGTAGTCTTGGCGGCCTTCTGCAACGGTCGCTGAGGCAACATTGCCACGGATCCGTTGGTTCCTTTGCATGTTATTGCTCTTGTCGCTGATTTCAGGTTTGCCGCCATTTCGGCGGAAGAGACAAGCGTCTTCTTGATGTTGTCCTGGATGACCTGCAGAGCGAGAGCCACCAACAAGGGCACGGAGCCGTTGACTGGAGCTGGGAGCCGTAGCGTCACTTCGGTGGCCGCGAGCAGTGCGCTCCTGTGGTCAGGGCGGCGGCTCAGAACAGACAGCGCACGCACGGCGAGACGCACCATCACTTGCGCATCGGCGGCCGTTGTCTCCTGAATGTAACGCGCTGCGCATGCGATGCCACCGGCCGCCACAAAGAGATCATCAGCACGCACCAGGGGCAGCGACACAACGGCCGCGGTGTCGTCACAACTGTTCTTCTTGTTGCTTTTGTTGAACAGCACAGCCTTTGCACCCACCGACACCGAAGCTCCTGCCACAGACCGCCACCGCAAGGGTGACGACACGGCTGACTCCATCAGTGCAACGAGGACACGCCAGGCCTCTTCCTGCAGCGTGAGCAGTTCCTCCCGTGTCCAGGCCACGACGACATCATCACCACATGTCGTGTCCACGTAGAGCAACAACACATCAATGAAGCCCTGCTGACAGACGTCAAAAATGAACCCGTCATAAACGACACTAGCGGCATCGCCATCATCTACGTCTTCCGGTGCACCTGCGTCCGTCGTGGACTGTGATGCATTACGGCAGTCGCGCCAAACGGCGAGGCGAGCGCTTTGCCAGGCGCAGAAGGACTCCAGCATCCGCCAGCCGAGTAACTTGAACTGCATGTTCTCCGTTCGTGCTGTTGGTGAAAGGACAGTGTTGTACCGTACAAACATTTCTACTGGTCGCTGCGTTATGTTAGCCGTGCTGCCGACCATGCGCAACTCTGGGCCACACACCATGTCAAATACCGCAATTGCAATGGCGTTGATGGCATCTATTGTTGACGACGGAAGTGGTGCTATTTGTTCTGCATCGGCAGATTGCAGCAGTGCTTCTTCTTGCCGCCGAAGTAGCGTTGTGTGGATATTTAGAATCATCAGCACCAGGATGACCATATCATTCCGCAGCTCTCGCTGGAGGAGTCGGTGACCAGAGAGAAGAGTTTGAACAAATGTGTGTAAAAGCGACTCACTCGCCGACAGCGATGCTAGCGACCGCTCCGCTTGACACTTTTCCCCATCTGTCTCCGCTGGCATTGATGGCTCAGACACCTTTTCCTTCTGCACGGTGTGCAGTAGGATCATGCGAACCGTCTCCTCTGGCGCCGCCTCCAGGAGGTTCCACAAACACTCGACGCACAGCGGGAGACATCTGTCGCCATCCGTGCAGCGCGCCATTGTGAGGCAGACGAGGACAGGGAGACTTGCGTAGGTCGTGTCGCATCCTATGAGGTACTGTACATGGTGTTTGTATGTGGAGAGGTGCAGGCAGACGCGCAGCACCAGGTAGATCTCCTCCGCATCGCCTTCGTCCATGCGTGTTCCGGACGCGAATACTGCCGTTCCACCCAAAGCCTCCATTGGCTGGAGACTGTCTCTTTTGCTGCCACCCACTGTCATGATCACCATCGCATCCCTTTTGCTCTCATCGTTGGCATTTGCGTCCGTCGCCTGCATTGCTGCTGGGCAGCGGAACAGTTGTCGAGTGGAGTCAAGCAGAGCGTTGTATGAGGCGTGCTTCTGCAGGATGGCCATCCACCGCTCGATAAGAGGATCCACGACATCCAGTGCGACAGCGTTGTTGTACATGCTTAGCGGCGCGGTGCGGGAAATATGGCGCATGCGCGGCGACTTCTCGGGAGTCTTCAGACATGGGTCGGTGAGGCGAAACAGACGGTTCGGCGACACCCCACCCTCTGCCAGCAATACTGCCGCCACTGGCGTAGGTTCATTGCCTATCGCGCCAGACACCGCCTGCCACTGATCACTGCCTCCATCATTCTCCTCTTTTCTTGTAATCAACGACACACCAGATGTCTTTGCAGCACCGAATTTCTCGTAGTGCTGTCGGTCGCGCGACGCAAAATGCTGGTTCACACTTGTCGAGTTCTCTGCCTCGATGAACGTCATTAGGGCATGCAGCGACATGATCGCGGCATGACGAATGCGGAACGTCACGTCCTGGGAATTGGATATTAGGGCATCGTCTTTATCTCCATCCTTCTCACTGCTGCTGCTGCTGGTACTGATCTTGTTGTTGTGGTCCTCATCATTATCCTTCTGTGGGAAGCACAACTTCACATGCGCACTCTCCAGCGTCACGCGTAGCATCTTCGCCATTGCTGATGCCAAAATGCGCACGGCAGCAATGCGTTGACGATGGTCCTCTGCTGTCAGGCAAACGAGAGGAAGGGCGCAATGATACAGCAGTGCCTGCAGCGCCGATGGGATGTCGCGAAGAACAGCAACGTGCACTGGCGAGTCGGCATCGACACGATCGCTTGGAGTAGGCGTTGGCTGCTGCTGCTTCCTATCCGCGGTTGAAACCACAACTACTTGTGGAATCGACGCCAAACTCGCGCCATCGGCCGTTGGGGGGAATGTTATGGGGCCCTTGCGCTTCCGTAGAGGTGGCATTGTTTCGCTCAGACAAATTTTCGTAGTAGTAGCACTCAGCGACGAAGTGTCATGCGACTGCTGCCGTGCAGACGCACGGGTACGGAAGCTCTGCATTTGTGGTACGGCGGCCTCGTTAGTGGCGTGTGGCGGCGTCGCCGGGCGGCGCACCAGCGGCGGCAAGAACGGCAAAATATCCGTGGAAAGCACATCGCCACCGCTGTCACCAGCAGCAGCCCCAACACTGCTCTCGCCACGACCCTTCCCGGATGTCTTCACAGCGTTGCCGTGGTTCATAAAGGAACGGCTAATTTTTTTCTCGTCGCGTCCCGCTGTTACTTCCAAGGCTGATGTTATCCTCTTTGTCGACATCGCCGCATGGGGACCCTTCCGCACAGGTGTGAGGGCTTGCACTGATGGCATGCTCTTCTCGGTGGGGCGCAGCAGGTAGCCATGTCGCACAGCCTCTGACAGCATGTAGAGGATGTCCGGTATGCCCGCTAGTACCATCGATGGTGTAAAACCCATCGGTGCGTCACAACGCAGCAACTCGTCAATCTCGACTACGTGGCGGTCAAAATGGTGGGCACTGCTCGCGCTCTTGATCTGACTGACAATCTCCGCGACGCGGCGTTGCAGGTACACCTGGGCATCCTGTGTGGGGTGACTGTTGTGCAAGCGACCATATGCCATTTCTGCCATGGCACAACCCACCGTCATCTCCGCGGGATCAGAGTAGGACATGACTTGCTGCTGTTCCTGCTGCTGGTGGTGCGCGTCGAGTGCACTTTTCATCATCATCGTTGATCCTGCACCACGGTCCCGTTGAAGCGGCTGCAGCGCGGTGGTAGGATACTTTTCTCTTCTTGTCGATCTACGCATTACCTTTTCTATGCCACTTAGAGCTCTACTACCTACCCACGTGGTCACGGGCATGAGAAGCAAAAAGCACATGAGAAAAGCACATACCATTTATGGCAGAGCCAGCACCAGCATCAATAGTGATGATCAAAAGAGCCTAAACAAAAGCAAGGCGGGAAGCCGTATAATTTGACGTGGAAAGCCAATAAAGCCCCGTGACCCCTACGAACGCAATACCAAACAATATGAACGATGGACATCACTATCGTATGTCCTCCTCCGGGTCGATATCAAGGCCCTCTTGTTGCTGTTGCTGTTGTTTCGGGGGCAATACTTCAACTTTTGCATGCGCCTCACTACCCTTAATAGACAGTTTTTTCGCCAACCTCGAGATGTCAGCAGTAATAAACTGCAACGTCTGTTCCTTCACTGCCTCCTTCAGCTGCTCTACATCTCGATCCTCAAAAGAGCTAAGGAGAACTTCAACCGTGGCCTCCTCCCGCGAACCCGCAAAGCCCGGGACACTCCGAAGCTTTTCCACCTCCTGCCGCGCCCACACAGGGTCGGCGCGCGAGAGGCAAAGCACGACTACTTCAAGAATTGCCTTCGCCGCGTTTTGTGGCTGCGCAAGGCGCTCATATAGACTCTTGCGTGGCCCGCCAGTGGTGAAGCCCAACTTGCGCTCCAGCACCGTCACTGCCCCCGGCACGTCGCCGCCGCGCAGGTGCGTCAGCATCCACAGGTGGTACATGTCAGGCAGGCGCGTCGCGTACACCTGCTGCTCCTCCACACGCTCCTCCAACACTTCCACGGCGCTACGCAACAGGTCACACACGCGCTGCAAATCCGCTCCCCCTGTCGCCGTTCCCTTGCCGAGGAGCAGTGCCGCACTTTTCAGCGACTCCGCCTGACGGTCAAACTTCCCGTCAAGTTCGTAAAGCCTAGAGGCCTCAGCGTACGTGCTGATCGCGTCGCTCAGGAGAGACGCGCCGCCGGCTCCAGCACCTCTTCTCTGCGCCAGATCGCCAAGGAACAACGCGAGGCTCTCCATCGAACGCGCCGCAAAAGTGGAGTTGCCAGCCTTCTCGTGTGCGTTAGAGGCCTTGCGCCACGCATCTGTGGCCATGACACTGTTCTCGGCATGAGTGTAAATCCTCGCTGCCTTTTCATAGTCAGTGGCGGCACCGTCCCAGTTGGGCTTCCATTTGAAGAGACCGACTTCTGCGTGCTTCGCAGCGCTCTTCATCAGAGCCTCAGCCTCCTTCAAGTTGCTACCACTATTGCTGCTGCTCATCACACACACCGTCTTCCTGGCTTCTCTCTTTGATGATGCAACACCTGCTGCTAGTACTAGTGCTAGTGTTAATCGCAAAAGGAAATACGGAGAAATCAATGCTTCTGCAAACACCATGAAAGGGAACGATCAAAAGGAGCATACAAAGACTTTCCCCCCCCCCCCNCCCGCTTCCCAATAGTTATAGAAGTGAGAATTGTCAGCCGCGATATTTTGGAACGATACAGTGAGGGAGGAACTGATACAGGGACAACAACAGCACAAAAGAAAAAAAAACAGAGGAAAGGAAGGGATAAGAAAGGAGACACACATGCGTCGATACCAGACGGCACCGAATGTATACTTTGACGCCTTCTACGCGTAGAATGACCCGCATAGGTACTCTTATAGAGCTGTCTGTAAACAATAAATAAAGCTCAAATGAACGAAAGAAGAGACTATTCTTCTGGAGGTTGTGCAAGGAGGTGCAATTCGAGCTGACCACGCCGTTCCAGCCTCACTGAGCTCCAGCGCGATCTCTTCTGTGACGTATACAACCGTCGGCTGCTGTTACTACGGGCGCGCGCAGCTTCCCACTGCGCCATCTTCGGCTCCAGCGTCGTAACACCCACGCCGCGGTCCGGGGTGTGCAGGTGGTGGAGCGTCTCGTTGGTGTAGCCCAGCGCGGTAAAAGGCGCACGACGCCACGGCGAGTGCAGAAACGTCTGGCCGCGTCGCTGTGAGTGCAGCATCGACTGCCGCTGCTCCGATACGTGGCGTTCCGCGCTCGAGAGGCCGTGGCCGCTGTTGCACGTGACCTCCTCCTCAACAGATGCGGGGCGGCACCGAGGCTCACCGTTACTCGGCAACTCCCTGCGCTCCTGGTAGTCCTCCGTCTGTTGTGGTTCGCTCTGACTGTTCATTCGACTCGTACCACGGCCGTGCTGCTTGAGAACATGCGGCAACAGGCACATTTCGTCATCGTCGCTTATTGCGTTAACGCTGGCTACCGCAGTCACCACCGGCTCGGTCACGGCCTGCGAGGTGCCCCGCGTGCTGACGCTACTCCTCCGCTTCTGCCCTGATATATCAGCACCTGAAACACTCCCGTTACCGCGCACATCGCGCCCTTTCTGCTCCTCGTGTATTCCCTCACACCTCGCTACTTCACTCAGTGCAGCAGCTAACTGCCGTTCGCGAAGCTCCAACACCGACAGCAACGTTCCTGTTTGCTCCTGCGACAACTGCAGGGCGCCCGAGAGGCGCTTTAACTCGGCGTGAAGAAACTGCTGTTCCTCCCTAACTTGTGTCACGTGCAGATCGTATGTAGCGTGGAATGCCTTTACTCGCTGCTCAGCCTCGTTGATGGCCACACGCTGTGCCTCAGCCGCCGCTAACCGGTCCGCCGGCATTTCTTCCCGCAACGAATTCATTTCCTTTGAGTGGGTTTTCACAACAACATCCATGCCTTGACGGAGCCCCATCAGTTCACCTAACAAGCAGTCAACACGCCTACAAAGCTCATCCCGTTCTCTCATTAGCGTGACAGCTCCTTCTTGAAGACTGCGATTTTCTTTCATGATGACTTCTTTTTCCGCCTGCATTTCCTGCCGGAGGCACACCAAGTCCACCCCAACCACCTGCTGCCCCTCTTCCACCTCCGCGGCGCTATCATTCTCCGCTGCATCCGCTTCTATAGGAGAGGAAATACACACTTCGACAAGCTGTTCTTCTTCCTGTCGCTGCTCTTGCTGCGTCCCTTTTTCTTCCTCTGCTTCATCACCTGGCGGTGGTGCACCAGGAAAATTTGGCACTACAGCTTCACGCGAGCCCTCGTTGGTTAGGAAACTACTCTCTGAGAATGGGCTCTCCGGAGAATGCACCTGTTGGGCTTCACCCGGGACTAAAGCATCGTCACTGATGTCTCGGCTCATTGGCGGTGGTGATGACACCACAGCTGACGACGATGACGCGGATGGAGACACAGGCAACGATGTTGCAAGCGTTGCGGACACTTTGGGTGACGTTGGTGCCAACGACGGGACGGACACGGATGATTGCATCTGTGTGGGAGGGTGTAGCACACGAAGGGCCCGTATGTAGTCCATTCCCTCATGCGCGTGCTCCTTGACTATCCGGTCTAGTTGCTCTTTCGCGACCGTATTGTTCGCATTCATGAAGATCTTCCCCACCGTCGTGCGAAACGCCTCTCTTTCGTACGCCACAATGTCAGGCAGTGATTCCAACTCCTCCGGTCCTCCGGCGTATGCGGGCGTCGCCGAGAGCGGTGTGAAGAACGCCTTCTTCCTTTCCTCGTCGCGCCGCACGCGGAAGCAGTAAGGAGCATCATAGAGCTTCTTCCCCGTGAGGACCGCGTAGGTGCCACCATCCTTCTTTACCTTGACGAAGCGCGAGCTTCCAGCAGTCCACCAGTGCGGCAGCCGAAAGGACTTTCTAGAGGAGGAGGCCCCCACCCAATCGCGGAGCCGCTCAAGGGTATGGGTACCAAGGGAGAGAGAGTGCGATAGGGAGACCGACACCGCCACCGCCTTATTCCTGCAGCTGCTTCGGCCAACGCTACTGTCGTTATTGCCAGCCTTGTTTACGGTGTATTTAACGTCAGTTTCTTGTGTACCATCATCGACGGGCCTCGAGACGTGGCCACTGCTGCTGGGCTTCTCCATCTCTGCGCTTCCTCTCTCTCTCTCTCTCTCTCTTTTTCTCTGTGAACCCTCCTTGTTCCTCACAGAGGTGCGTGTTTGCCTTTTTCACCGTTGCTACTTCTGTTGCTGCAGCTGTTGTTGGCCCTCGAAAGTGTTAGAAAAAAAAAAGTAGAAGAATACAGTGAGGGAGGCCAACGGGCTGAACAGAGATACGCAAGGGAAAGCCAGAGATGTCACGTCAAAAAACAAACCACACGCCTTTGTAACCCCACGCCTCTTCCTCTCTCTCTATCTGTCTTATCACCCAGATACTACATTTTCTGCTGCTAGATATGCGCATCGAAAGGAAAGGAAAAACCTCCACACATTTTGAGCAGCGGATGGAACGCCTTTGTACTGCGTGGCAAGACATATACAGCAATATATATATATATATATATATATATATATATGCAGAGAGGCGCATTGTGAGAAACGCCGCAACCTTCCGAAAACATTGTTTCATGCATAACTGACGCAATCCACCTCTCTGGACGGCACAGATAGTAACGGGCAGTCATAGCTCGCCACGACGGCGCCAGTGGTTTATTCAAAGAGCGCCATTCTTTTTTTTTTTCTTCTGCCTGATTTGGCTGCAGAAGCACGCAAAAACAAAAATGCAATGAACATCGTTGGAGTTATTAANTTTTTTTTCTTCTGCCTGATTTGGCTGCAGAAGCACGCAAAAACAAAAATGCAATGAACATCGTTGGAGTTATTAAAGGGATGTCACAGAAGCACTGCCACAGACTCACACAGAATGACACTGCCTCTTCGTTCTCCGCTCATTTCAGTACCTAAAAGTCGGCCTTCTCCCCACCCCAAATACACAGCCTTTGGTTCTCTCTCGTTAGCAGCAAGGAGCACATGATAGCAAAAGAGACAGGACAACAAAAACCGATCATTAGTGCGTGCCAGCAACAGTAAAGATCCAGGGCAAGAAAGAGCAACACAATTAATCAGAATCTCTAACAGCGACAACAGATGGGGGTCATCTGCAAGAGAGAGAGAGAGAATAAGAAAGCAACTATTTCGGTGCCAAAGCCACGTACTCACGCCTCGTGTTCATCTCCTAATTTAGCAAAGGACAGAGATCAGTGGGTAAGGATGCTGATAAAGGCCCCATTATAGAAACAACAACATCACGGTGCTTCTCTTCACTGTATGCAATGGAATGCTCTTTCACTGGAGAACACATCAGGCAAAATCTGCTGCAAGACGTTTCGCTCATATTGGAGACATATCTAATAAAACCGAACAAGCATATTGACCACGCAAGTCCATTGCTTTATGCCACGCCTCGGGATTAAAGGAGATCGCCAACATCTTCATCATCGGTGTCCTTACTCTGAGGCGTCACAGGGGGCGGCGAGATGATCGGCACGGGACGAGGGCGGGGGGACAGAGCATCCCCGCTTTCTACTGCCGACTTCTGTTCAACAGGTGAGCCTTTGCCATTGGATTTCTTGTGACTGCTGTTGCTTGCCGTGGTGGAAGCTCGGCCGTTTTCACTCTCACTGTGTTCTTCCCCCTCCACCTTCGTTGTCCCCATCATCACTTCATCGTTTTTACGCATCACTGTGTCGGCGACGTTAGTTTCCTTCTCCAGTGGCGGCTTCGGACGCTGCACAATCGACGTCAGACGCCGCCGCTCGCTGCCACCGTCACTACTGCCACTGTCGATGCACTCCACATGTTTGGCATCGCCTTCTACCACAGGGCCCTTCGCAGCGTCGTGCCCACTCACTCTATCTACCACATCTTCACTCCTCCAACTGGCCACACGCACCAGAGCCTCCTGCGGCGTCTTCCGACCCGCGCCTCCTTCCGCGGTGAATACCGGGGCAAGGATCTCGGTGGACTTACACCTGTCGTCGTCGTCGTCTTCCTCTCCGTCCTCGTCGTTGTCGGTGAACACCACATCGAATTCAACAACATTCTCACGCGTCTGTAGGCCCACTGGAGGGTTTGCCCCTACGGCGGGAGGAGTGTCTCCGTGCTGCAGCTCCTTATCCAAGTTACGGTGGATAATGCTTGCTAGTGTGCTGATGTCACGGCTTTTCTTTGCGGAGTCTTCGGCCTTCGCCTCGCCCTGCAGATGCTGTGCCTCCTCGTCATCAGAATCACTGTCCTTCCTCACCTCAGTCTGCCCCTCGTGGTGCTGTTGATCTTGTTCTTTTTCTTGACTCGCCTTTGAGTGTGGCGGCCCTTCAGACGATTCTCTCAACGCCTCAGCATCCATAGCGACGGGTGACACATGCGCAGCAACAACCACATCTCCCTCTTCATTCTTCGTCTTGTGGTCATCAGCCGCACCAACACGATCGTCTTCAACATGAGAAACATCCTTGTCAACTCTATTTTCTGAGTCATCGTCACTATCATTTTTCTTTGGTAACGTGTGTACCGCTGCGAAAGCAGGGGTGGCGTAGTGAACCGCAGCTTCTCCCCTACCTGTGCTCGTCTCGTGTTGCTGATCCTCGGTGGCACTCCAGATGCTGTTGGAGCTGCTGCGATGGCTTTCCCCCCTTATAACTACCGGCCCCACCTTGCCATCAACTTCCTTCTTTTGCGTACTGCCAATCACCTCTGGAGATGTAGAATACTGAACGTCTCCAGTACCATAGTTGCTTCCACCATCAGGATTACTGAAGAGGTCTGCGTCCGCCGGCTTTTCCTTACTATGAGAGCTCAACTCTTCCTGATTTCCGTGTTCGCGCGGCGCAGGAGTAGAAATACGGTCTTCTTCCCGTTCCTCTTTTGCTTCAGCTGAAGGCACTTTTCCAATCTCGGTATTGCTTATAGATTTTTCAGCCGGCAGCTGGATCATCATCCACCGTCCCTGATCCCCGCTGTGGGCACCTGCTACCAAGTGAGGGGGGGTGCCTGACGACACGGACAACGGCAGCGATGACGTCTGAGTTAGCTGCTCTCGCGAGGGCACCTGGTAGGATTCCCCCGATTCATGGTGTTTCTGCGGGACAGGGCGATTCTCCGCTGAATCCTTATTTGACCTGCAACAGTTACCCATTTCTTTTCGCTTTTTTTTTCGTGTCTTGCAATTTATACTTGTATGCGTAGGGAGAATACGAGGAGTGGTGTAGCAGTGCCAAGTCTTCCCTCAATTCTGTAGGCGTGTCTCGACGTGGAAGTTGGCGCCTCCTCTCGATATACCTGCGTTTCACCTACCGCCTTTCAAAGACATCCATTCAACGAAGAAAGAGAGAGCGATAGAGGGTGAACAACGGGGACAAGGGAAGAGAGAGTATNNNNACTCTTGTTTTTTTTTTTTTACAAAATGCAGGGATAAAATACGGACAGGCACGCCCTCACACCGAGAACATTGAAAGGAGGAGGAACTGTAATGTATCCATTGGAGCACAGCAAGCCGCATCTCGCCAATAGCACGCTGAGTGGGACTTCCAGAACCCCAAGCATCACCCACCCTCCATAGGCCACCAACGCCACACAAGAACTCAACTCAAGAGCGCACAGAATTTTACAACGAAAAAGAACGTTTCTGTTACTCCCCTTGCATAAAGATGGGGTATTTCAGCACATGTATCTATGCATTCAACAAAAAGAAATCATATTTTCGCCCCTCCTTTCCTGGAGCATTAGTGGCGACTGCCAAGCAATCCAAATCGGCGGGACCCCGAGGAGACACCATGCATGGGATGACTCTTCCCCTCTCGTCGTTCAATCATGTCGCCACCGTTGTTCATCACGCGCACAATGAACCCACCAGTATTCTTACGCGGTGTGCTCTTAGCACTTCCTCCCTGTAACCCCGCCACCACCTCTCCTCTTTCTTTTTCTCCTCCAGCGGTCCTGCTGCTACTTCTGCTCCCAGTATGTCTGCTACTATTCATGTCGATAAGCCAAGAGGAACGACGTAACTTTGGGAGTGGTGTCGTCGAGACAGACACGGCGGCATCATTGACGGCGGCAAAGCGTCTACGACCCTTTTGGCCGTGGGGCTCCTGTTGTCGCCGTTTACTTCTCCCACTGGTACCCTGGAAATTTGGTCCACTGTTGCTGCTGCTGCTGCTACTACTACTACTACTGTNTTGTCGCCGTTTACTTCTCCCACTGGTACCCTGGAAATTTGGTCCACTGTTGCTGCTGCTGCTGCTACTACTACTACTACTGTACACTACACTTCCAGGTTCTCTATTCCTCCCTTGGTCTGCTTTTTTTCTGAGTGGCGTATGACAGGAATGGGGCGAATCAGGGACCACAACATTTCTGAGTGGGAAAAAAGACGAACCCTTAACAATAGTTGGCTCTTCCTTTCGCTGTGGCTCTTTCTCTGGGTACGTAGATGACGAGAGCGGTTGCACATTGGGATGTGGAGACGACGGGCAATCTGGAGTCGGTGTATGCGCCCCCACTCTGCTCGCAGCCTCTAAATCCTTTTTGAAAATATGCGACTCATCTGTCCGTCCTGCCCCTGCCACTATTGCTTTGTCGGACACACCGGAGAACGAGTGGCTTGAATTGGGTCTCCAAACCTGCGACGCATTTTCTCCATTTGCCTCCAACCGCCTCGCGGGGGTCAGAAACGCGTCGACACGGGAGCGACTTGGGTGATTAAGGAGGTCATCTGGCAGCACTATTGCCCCGTCATGCGAGGCTGCATCGTTCCACGATGATGCCAGCGGCGACGGCGGCACGTGTTGTAGTGACTGATTAGTGCTTGACATCCGAGAGGTGGCAAGCGACCGCGCACGCCACATCTCTTCGGCTGCACCGTGCAGCAACACGGTACGTGGCTCGTTCGGCATTGGACTGATGTATTTTGAGGACACCAACGGCACCGGTGGGGGCCGCGGCGGTGTGTGGGGTGCGCTGTTGCAGGAGCGATTCTCCGTCCTACTTGCCGTGGAGCGCAGCGGCGACGGGAGTGCAAATGTGTTGGGTCTCGCTGTGTTGCCCGCCGGCGGTACCGCAACCACGTCCATATACAGCGCTTCTGCATCACGTTGACCACTACAAACCTTTTTCTCGTCGCGATTCATCACGGAAGGTGTGTCACGATCCTTCGAAGAGGAGTGGGAAACGGCTGAAACGCTTAAATCAACTGAGGCATGGGTATCTGATAGAGTCTCCGTCACACACGGGGCCCGCAGAGTGGGAATCGGCTGGAGCGGAACCGAGGGGACCCGAGGGGGGATAGTCGAGTGCTCACGCCCTGCTTCCCGTTTTTTTGCTGTGGGAACAACTGTGCCTAACCCGTCACCGTTTGCACCTCTGCGCTTACGAGGTGTGGCACTTTCACGCAGAATCCGCAGCCGCTCCGTTTCCAGACGACTACAGTATTCGCGCAGACGGAGCACTGTGGTAAGGTCCGCAACGTCCGCTGTGCCGTGAGAAGCGATGGGGTGAATCAACGCGCCCGGCGGTGGCTGTGGGTCCACAGGAAGCTGCGAGCTGCCAGGGGCAGGAACGGTGGGATCTTGCCGCACACCATCGTGGCGTTCTTTTTTGTCTGTGTCACCGGTGTTCTGCTGCACGTGAGGCTCTGGTCGTTGCTGTAATGGTAATGGCGGCGTTGCTGTGTTCTTCGTTGCATTATGACTGTCGTCAGAAAGTGTGACACGCCCACTGCGTGAAGAAGTGGATGCCGACTCGCACACCTTTCTGCCGGCGACTCGGCTCCCCGACACATTCCTGCACTCCCCAGTTGCCATTGAGCGTCCCGTGTAAAAAGAAGACAAGTCGCGGGTGACGCAACGGCTCTGATGCCTTTGAAACGGAGGCTGTTCCGTTCTTGGTGTGAGCGGCGACACTGTGTTGTTACCTTTGTCATGAGGGATGGGTGCGGCCCCAGTCACGCCACGAGTGTCTTTGCCCCCACTGCTCCAAGGAGAGACACAGACATGCCTTTCCTTTGGAGTATATTCGGGGGAATGCATACTGCGCTGCTGCAGTGACCCTACTCTTGCTTCAGAGGGTCCTCCGTACGGATGCTCCAGTTGCTGTTGGTGTTGTGTGGGAATGTTCGAGCTCCCTGACGCCATTGTCGAAAACTCCGCTTGTTGAAAGTGACGCAACTTGGGGGAGCCTTGACGAGACAACCAGAAGAGTTCATCGTAGTCACGTTCCAGCCGCTCCGTTTTGCTCTTCAGGTAATCCGTGAGGATACGAAGTGCAAGCGAATTTTCGTCAGGAAGCATACCACGCTCCACAAGCCAGCGGCACATACGCTCCTCGTCGTCTTCGATACCTCGCCAGAGCCGATCGCCCCACTCAAGCGTGTCAAGGCTGCGGTGATTGGAGCGCGAGAGCCTGCCTGCTGGAGAAGCATCGCTCTCCGTGAATAATCCCTCCTCGCCTTGCTTACTAACTCCAACGTAACCCAACGCCTCATTGCGGCGTTGTCTCGCAGCGCGGCGGGAGGAGACACTTTGGTGAACGTCAATGTCAGCGTACAGCTGCGATGCAGAATGGCTACTACAGAGACAAGGAGACCTATGCTGCTGCTGTGGTGGTGGTGGTGGTGGTGGTGGCGATGTATCGTAATTAGAAGTTTTTGGAGCGTTTCCCTTTGCGTGGCTGCTGCATTCGTGTATGAGCGGAATGCGACGACCTGTTGTGAGCAAACGTCTCCGCATTCGGCGAAGCACTTCGGTGAGAAGCGCAGTAGAAGGCCCAGTGGGGCCACTGGCACAATGCTGTCGATACGCTTGAGGTTCACGTTGCAGAGGCAACGGTGTAGAAAGCTTTTCCTCCACATCATCAGTACTAAGATTTATTTTTTCCATCGAATGGACTGGTTGCGGGTAGTATGGCTGTGGTGGGGAGATGGGCACATCTGGCAGGGCTGCTATACTCCGCAGAGCAGCATCCCCACCTGGCCGCTGCGCCCCAACCGGGGAGATCCATAGTGGTGTCTCCACCTCCTCCTCCGTCTCGCTCATTTCCCGCTTCTGTAATTCCTTGACTCCTCTGTAATGTACTCTGTCTTCATCAGAATGCGGATGCCGTCTTTTACAACTAGAGGCGGCACTCTCAGCGTTGCCTGGTAGCTCTACTGTTCCTGGCTGGCGTACAACAAATGTGTATGGTCCGACAGAAATCAACGCATTTGACGAAGTGAAAGGCCTTGAATGAAATTGGCTAGCCGTTCGGGGTCGCCCAGCGTTCCTGCCACGCCCCAGAGAGTATCCTTCCTTGTTGAGGTTTCGTCGTTTTTTCGCAGTTTCGGCTATTAATGCCATAAACCTCTATAAACTGGAGGCCCCTACCTATTCTTCTCAGTTTTTTTTGTTATTTTAAGTTTTTTTTTGGAGAGAAATAGAACAGAAGACCAGGAGAATATGGCAGGAACTTCATATGACCCTCAATAATATTATCATCACAGCTGATATGCTGTGTGACAACAGCGCAGCGCCTCCGGCCCCCAGCCACCCAGAGACCCTTCGCATTCCTTTGATTCTTCTCTGCACTTCCCGTAGCATTATTCTCTTGCGCTTTATCACTCCTTATGACACTCGTACACGTTCCCATACTCTCCACACCACATACACAGTCCCTTTCAAAGATAGTGAACACGCGAACATAGGAAAAGGCTGTTGGCTCGAGCTACAGAAAGAGGTATCAAAGAAGCTTGAAAAAGTCAACCTCAGCGTAGACGTCATAAAAGGCGCGACCTATCCTGGCGAGTGAGAAGGCACAACATATGAAGAAGGCAAACCGACAGTAAGAAAAAAACACGCGGAGGGTGTGCAACAACTCCGGCGCGCGGCATTGCGTCAAAAACCCTCCCGCCTTATCTGCTTCATATCGGTTTCATCACAGGGAAGACAAAATCAAGCGGCACTGCATTCACCTACAAACGATCCTCCAAATTTGTCCTTCATCTCATAACTACAAGACCACCGGGGAGAAAGAATGGCTTCATTCCACACGATTTCGTTGATTTACTTTCTCCGCCGCCCATTGGCATCGCGCTGACGGCGCTGACGGGCGTCCTCCTTCCGGTCCTCGTACCGATCCACCGCTGCCGCCGCGCCGCCAGCCGCCACCACCTGGCCGCCACCGCCGTTCTCGCGTCGCTTATCGCGGTCGTCCCTGAGGACATACCGGCCCCTGGACGCGCTGCTTGTGGAGGTGGCCGTTCTCTCCTTTGCGTGGCCGCGCTCCGCCACGGTGTCGCGGTCGCTGCGGTTTCGACGGCGACGGCGCTCATCATCATCATCAGAGTGGTGCCCACTGCGCGACCGTCGATCGTGGCGCCGCCGCTCTTTGTCGCCACCACCATGCTCCCTTCCCCGTTTGTGTCGCCCGCTGTTGTCGTCGTCGCGTCTCTGTTTGGACTTCTCATCGCGTCGTGTACTACGCCGCCGTGATTTGTCATGGCGCCGGTGGGTCCGGCGTCGGCTGCCGCTACGGCTTCGACTGCGACGGTGATTACGCGACGGAGCCTTCTTCTTTTCGCTATCGCCGCCGACCTCGTCGGGATCCCGGCGGTGGCGGTGCTGCGGCCGCCCTGACGCTGAGCTCGCGCGCGACACGGAGCCACTGGATGTGGATGAATGTGATGAAGATCTGTCATCGCTGCTGCTGCTATCGTCGAGAAACATTTGCGCCGTCATGGCTGTCGTAGTGGTGTGCGGTGCAGCAAGCACGGAGCTGCCGTATAAGGCGCCCCCAGTGCCGTGATGGTGGCCGTGCTGGTGACTGACAGGGATGGGCGCTGGCCCACCAATCGTACCAGGGATATCGCGAGCCGCCATAGACTCTGCGCCAGCAACCCCACCCCTTCCCGACGTGTACGGCACGCCGGCATTTCCGGACGGATAGATCGCGTAGTACTGCTCCGGGTGATTCCGCATCGCAGCCTCCCAGCCAATGTAATGAAAATATTCGAGCCACTCTTGACGGTAGATTCTTTCCTTTGTTTCTTTGTCATACTCTGGCGGAATCGCGTCCATTGTCAACGTCTTCTTTTTCGCTTGTTTGCTCCTACAATACGACAAAGACGGTTTGAGTAACTGGAGGATGAAATGTACCTTTTGTGATGCCTCAAGACCCCCTTTCCTCCTTCCTCCTTTTTCCTTGCAGCGCCGCCCCACGTGCAATTGCTATGACTATTAAGGAGATGTACACACCTTTGTGCGTGGTGGGCACTTACTCTCTTGTTTTCTGTGCCAAAGCACAGCCATTCCAACAACAGTATAGGAGACAGAAGAGAAGCAGATGCATGCAATGTGCTGCGCAAGCAACGGACACAGAATAATTCACAGCACAGTACAAAAAAAAAACGAAGGGGTCTTTTCTGCAGCAAGAGCAGCGGATGATAATTGGCGCGGGTCCGTTGAGAAATCGGTGAACGGTTATGAGCGTACACGGACTCTGGCGTCAAGGAGGATTGCACAGATTCATTTTCTTTTTTCTTCAGGTTCCAGAGCAATTACTCACCAACGCTCAGCAATCCCAGAGGCAAAAGGAGAAAAACCCTTACATAGACTCGCGTCCCCACCCCCCATTTCCATCAAGTATGCACTTTATTTCTTCTTTCCTGTTCGTAGAGACGGAAACAGAAAGGTGACTAATGCTCTTCTCTCGTACCATTCCCCCCGTCATCATTCTAACTTGACCATAAGCCATACGTCACACGACTATCTCTTCCCTTCTTATAGTAATGTAGCTGCGTCTCATATATATTACGTGGTCTCTCTTTTAAAGGGTTTCTGTTGTTGGTGGCAAAGAGCCTTTGCGGCACCGCAGCTGCATAACACCAACGATGTGAAGCTCGAAAGTAGGTTCCAGGATTGAAGAGTAAACAACAACCAAGTGATTTGCATCTTATTCATCTTCCTCTCCCGCCCACATTACGGTTACCTACTTATGACGACTGCAAAAGCTCAAGCTGGACCCGCACCCACTTCATTTGGTCTCTCGTGTCTTGGTCGGCATCCCTCATGTTGGTTGCGTGGCCCACCACCTCCCACACTGGCTGCGTCAGAAGGGCGCTCTTGCCCTGCTGTCGCAGCTCCGGTGACCGGGCAGACTTCAGAACACACGCCATATCACCGATAAGTGAAACAGTCGCAATAAACACTTCTACGTAGTCGAGGGAGTGCGCCACTTTAGATGCATGAAGAGCGAACTGCAGGACCCGCTGTAAATACGGCGTTAACTGTGCTTCAGAACCTTTGAAGCTCTGACAAACACCTGTGTAAAATGTTGCAATACTCTCCCATAGCGACATGACATACTCCTCACTGTCTGGATCCTCGTCGATGTTCAAATTACAGCTTTGCTCAAAGAAGGCATGAGCCAGCTGCATGAAAACGTCGAGGTACTGCGCAAAGTGAACATCACCTACATTCAGCGCAATATCTCCCAGACAGTTGAGGAAAGTGCACTTCAAATTACGGTCCACCTCCGGGTTCTGTAGGTTTGTGTGTAGTAAACCAAGAATAGTGCCGATGAATGGGGACATGTCGGAGCGAAGGCTCAGCGACAAATCTCCCAAAGTGCCCACAGCGACAATGGCGAGGTCTGGCTCATCGACGCACTGTAACGCCTTTAAAACGTAGGGAATAACACTCTCCGTGTAGGGGGTAAGCTGTTGCTTCACGGCATGCGCAAAACTACCGAGCATAGTGAGGGCCTCATCAAGCAGGATATCGTCTTGGCTCTGTAGAATCTGCATCAGGATTTCCATACTCGCCTGCAGGTGCTGCGCAAAGGCGTTCTGCACTTTTTTTGCGACGTTGCCAAGCGAACCACAGAGAAGGCCAAGCATTGCCATGACTTCCACGGTGCTCATCTGACCCTGCGCACGCGCTTCCAACATGTACACCATGCGCTTGTGTAACTCCGGCACAAGAACATGGAGGTACTGATAACAGTCAACTGCCGCCGCATCAATAAGGACGTTTAGAGCTTCCTGAGCCACACTCTTAACATTGTGGTTGTTACCCGTATCAATCGCAACCAACAGCACATTCAGGAAGCCAGGGTAATAAGAAGAAAGCTCGTTTGTGGGCAGATTTTCCTCATCCTGGTAAGCTAGTGCAAGATTATGGAGGATGTGGCACGCGCGAATTGCCATGTCATCACCGCCACCAATCATTGGTGTTATGATGTTAATCAGCTGCTGGAGGCTCAACGGCTGCTGAAGGAAGACATCTGAGAACAATTCGCAGACAATGGCCAGCACCCATCCGGAGGTGTCAGCGACCATCCGATGCTCATGGCGGATATACTGCAGAAGCCCTGGAACTGCCTGTGCGACGGTATCGTGAAAGTTTTTGGGATCAGGTCCATTTAAGATACACCCGAACGCCATAACAGCAGCCTCCTTCTCTCGCCAGTTGGCACTCTCAACCTTGCTGTAGACAAATGGCATAATCAAATCAATCACGGGGTCACCGATGCACATTGCAAGACTCTGCAACAACTTGCCACCTGCAATGGAGATGTTCCAGTCACCCTCCTCCTGCTGTTCTTCCTGTTTTACGAGTGCCTGAAGTGCGATCCCTGTAATCATTGACGCCCCCTTCATCGCGTAGTCAAGGCACCTCCCATCGCCATCCGCCTTCATGTCTTGCTCCGTCTCACAGATTGAAATCCAGAACAGCATTGCCTGCAATCCGACCGCCTCCTCGTCATTGAAGATGGCGTGTGTCGTGATGGTGTGCAGATGGTCAATGTAGTTAGGCAATGTCGAGTAGTACATGTCAGCGACCTTGACCAAAGATTCCATTGCCTTTTCTCGAGTCCGTGGGTTTTGGCATGTTTTTGCGGCTCTACAGAGTGCGTCGACAAGGTGGTCACGCTGCTCCTGCTGCTTCATGTTATCGTGGATAAATTCCAGCGCATTGCACAGCGCATTTGTGGCGTAGTAACGTACCTCTTCCCTGTTGCTATTCATACCACGGAGCACCGCCGTAAGGATACCAGTAGTGAATGGAACCAGCGCCGCTTCCACGGAGTCATGCTCGCGTCCCTCCTCGCAGACGTACCCAATTGCCGTCAGCGCCGCCTCTTGGTGCTGCTCGCTGCTTGACTCCGCCGCGTTGAGGAGAATGCTGAGGAGGTCCGGCCACTCACCTGACGGAAGTTCGATGCGGGCGAGGTTCCCAATGATGTTCGCCGCCACGTTCTGAACCTCCTTCTGCGGTGAGCCGAGTGATGCTAGAACGCCTTGTTTCACCGAAACGCGCACATCAGGGGGTAGCATCATCCACTGCTGCTCCAGCGCACGCCGCGCCGCCGCATCTCGAAGGTTCGGCGCCACGGAGTTCTTCAGCAGCGTGCCCGCCATGTGCCGCGCAAACCCGGGCTTCGCCTCGTCGCGAAACTCCTCCAGCAGCGCGAAAAGAAACCCTGCAAGGTCCACCTGCCGCGCCTCATTAACCCGCTGCTCCGCTGGCACGCGCACCGCAGGGTCGGTGTTTCCCAACGCCATCAGCAACTCTGTCAAACCCGCCATCACCTCCACTTTCAATCGTCCAGGTTGTGAAACGCCACACGAAGAGCAGCTACCCTACAGACAACAAAACACAACCCCGTCGCACGTAGAACTCCGCTTTAACGGCTGTAAACAGGAGCAATCGTTGAATCAGTAAACACAACAAACCACGTCTCCACGCTTTTTGTCGTCCTTCCTTTAACGCGCACTCTGCTCGACACAAAAACACAAACTGCTCTGCAAAAAGAGACACTACAAAAAAAAGAACATAAGCACCACTTACAAACCCCCTCAAAACGGCAATCACAAAACGAAAAAGGTCACAGAGGAACACCAAAATGGTAACCTCACTTCCACACACAAAAACACACAAAACCTTCTCTTTAACAAAATTTCAGAATTCTCCCATAAAACACCCACCAACATCCGAAGACAAAGTCAACAGAACATTAGAAATGCCGTTCTTAAATAAAACTACTTTTGCTCAGGAAACATGAACGAGGACGATGCGGTCCTTCACGCCCACGCGGGGNAACATTAGAAATGCCGTTCTTAAATAAAACTACTTTTGCTCAGGAAACATGAACGAGGACGATGCGGTCCTTCACGCCCACGCGGGGTAGCCGAACTTGGCGTGCGCGCCGAGCTCCTCCTCAATGCGCAGCAGCTGGTTGAGCTTCGCGGTGCGCTCGCCACGGCAGGGCGCGCCGGTCTTGATCTGGCCGGAGCCAAGGCCCACCACGAGGTCCGCGATGTAGGTGTCCTCCGTCTCACCGCTGCGGTGCGAGACCATCACCGACCAGCCGTTAGCCATGCACAGCTTGGAGGCATCAATAGCCTCAGAGATGGTGCCGATCTGGTTGATCTTGAGCAGCAGCGAGTTGCACGCCTTCTTCTCAATGGCCGTCCTGATGCGCGCGACATTCGTCACCGTCAGGTCGTCGCCAACGATCTGCGTCTTGCCCTTGAGCGCGGCCGTGATGCCGGCAAAACCCTCGAAGTCGTCCTGGTCGTAGGGGTCCTCAATGCTCACGATGGGGTAGTCGCTGGCCCACTTGCTGTAGGTCTCACGCAGCTGCGCCGCCGTCACCCAGGTCGCCTCGGGGCTCTTGAAGGTCAGGTTGTACTGCTTCTTGTCCGCGTCGTACGTCTCGCTGGCGGCGCAGTCCATGCAGATGGCGAACTTGCCCTTGTGGCCAGCCTGCTCAATGGCCTCCATGAGGATCGGCAGAGGCTCGTTGATGTCCTTGATCGGCGGGGNGCAGTCCATGCAGATGGCGAACTTGCCCTTGTGGCCAGCCTGCTCAATGGCCTCCATGAGGATCGGCAGAGGCTCGTTGATGTCCTTGATCGGCGGGGCAAAACCACCCTCGTCACCCACGTTCACGGCGTCCTGGCCGTACTTCTTCTTGATGATGCTCTTCAGCGAGTGGTACACCTCCGCACCCATGCGCAGCGCATCGCTGAACGAGGCGGCCTTCACCGGCGCGATCATGAACTCCTGGAAGGGCAGCGCGTTGCCCGCGTGCTTGCCGCCGTTGATCACGTTGAAGCACGGCACCGGCAGGCGCATCTCCTTCGTGCCGGCCAGCTCCGCCAGGTAGCGGTACAGTGGGAGGCCCTTGCGCGCCGCAGCAGCCTTGCTGATCGCCATGGAGCACCCGAGGAGGGCATTCGCGCCGAGCTTGCTCTTGTTCGCCGTGCCGTCAAGGTCGCGCATCAGCTGGTCCAGCGACGCCTGCTGCAGCTCGTCCTTGCCCACCAGTGCAGGGGACAGCACGTCGTTCACGTTCTTCACCGCCTGCAGGCAGCCCTTGCCGATGTAGCGCTTCTTATCCTCGTCGCGCAGCTCACACGCCTCATGGACACCGGTCGAGGCACCGGACGGAACCGCCGAGCGGAAGACGCCCAGCTCCGTCGTCACCTCAACCTCAACGGTGGGGTTGCCGCGCGAGTCAAGAACCTCGCGGCCGTGGACCTTTTGAATCGTCATGGTTGCTTTCAGAGTGTGCTGTTAGTGTGCTTTATAAGTGTTTGTTGCTTCGACATGCGGGGAGTGCAACGAACATGAGGGCACGGACACGAAAGAAAGAGAGAGAGAGAGAGAGAGAGAGAGAGAGAGAGAGGAGAGCTCAACAGTAGTACGCGTCACACCACAGGGGCGCATTTCAACACAGTCCCACCCACNGCTGTTAGTGTGCTTTATAAGTGTTTGTTGCTTCGACATGCGGGGAGTGCAACGAACATGAGGGCACGGACACGAAAGAAAGAGAGAGAGAGAGAGAGAGAGAGAGGAGAGCTCAACAGTAGTACGCGTCACACCACAGGGGCGCATTTCAACACAGTCCCACCCACACCACAACCCTCCGCACACCTGCGGCTGTGTTGATGTCCAGGAGAGAAGCCGCCGAGACGGGCCCGGGCTTGGGCCGCCGCACGCAGCAGAGCCCACGCCTTCGCGTGCACCACGCCAGCGGAGAATGGCGGCTTCGCCACGCACCGCACACAGTGCGGCGGACCACTCACTGCAATCGGAAAAAGACACACAGTAGCCCGCGCAGAAGAGCCGAGCAACAGCAACGGGGCGCCTCTTCATCTCCCACAAATTCCACGCGTTGTATGGCGCCCCCCCAAAAAAAACATTTTGAAGCGTCCTTCTCCCTTTCTTTTTTTTGTCGTGCGGTCCCATTCTCATTTTGGTTTGTTTTTCCTTACCAAGCGTCTCAGCGTCATCCTCCACACGCTCGGAGAAGACGGAACATTAGAAATGCCGTTCTTAAATAAAACTACTTTTGCTCAGGAAACATGAACGAGGACGATGCGGTCCTTCACGCCCACGCGGGGTAGCCGAACTTGGNTGTTGTGTGTTTTTGAAAGAGCTGGTGCGCTCTGCTTAGCACAATGTTTGTGCTATTCAGTCGTTGTTATGGGCATTTAGTCTTAGCTATGACTTCGTAGAATGGAAGAAAAAAGGGGAAAGAATATATATTTTTTGATGGAGGACGAGATGCTTGTGGTGTTGTTTTATTTTGCAGCAGGTGCCATGTGATGATGTGGCTCTGTAGATGATCGAATGATAGGGCTCGTGTGGTACAGTGGTGCCCCATACGACAATGTGGGCATGCCTGTACAAAATGGGCATAACATAACTGCGGTCTGCGTTTTCTTGCATTATATATATATATATATAATGTGTAGGAACTGAAGAGAGGATGTTTCACAACGCCTTTTTGTACGTGGCGGTGGGATGATAGAGCTAGTAGCAGCGTTAGCAGCCGTCAAAAGAAACAGAATGTGTTGTTCTCTATTTATATCTATTGGATTCCATTCGCTTCTTCGCATATCAACGACTGCTGCTGTTAATGGATGGTTCTCTTTTCGTATGTTGTTTTAATTTGCTCTTCATGATCCTCTTTTTTTTGTTTGTTTGTTTTTTGCTCTGTGTAGTGCACTTCTTCGTATCCACTTCGCGGCTCAACGCAAGCGACGTGCATACATTCACACACTCAACGGGTATTACCAGCAGAGGGTGTAGGTGTTGCCCCTCGGTCTTGCTGTTTGCAACCCCCAGTTCGTGTTTTCTTCGCTTGCGCCGCCCCCCGTTGACCCGATCTAGGTCTGATGTGCACACAACTGAAGACATGTCGAAAGTCCTCCTCATGAAACCCGCCGCACGAATGCAAAGAAAAGTGCTGAAAATGGGTGAGGGGAGGAGGAGGAGGAGGCAACACAAAAAAAAAAGTGTGGGGGAAGGGCACACGATGTCCTTCATGTGCTACACTCTCTACGGTATCTCGGCTTGATAGCGTCTCTTGCTTCACCTTCGTTCATTGAGTAGCTACTCCTGTGCCATTTCTCTTTTTCTGTTGTTGTTGTTTTGGGTTTCCTGCAGATTTGTTGAACTGTCTCTTTTTTTGACATCACGTACTCACAATTCACGACGGCGGCGGTGCCGCCTGCTGGGAGGACAGCGGGCCCGTGCCAGGCGCACTCACGCGTCGGCTCATCTCACTGTCCAGCCAGCTGCTGGGGTCGGTGCCGAGCGGCGGCTGGTAGTCGCTACTGTGGAGCCGCTGCGAAGACGACCGGTGGCCTGGCGGCATCGACATGGGACTGTCCATCGACTGCTGCTGCCGCTCTTCCTCTTTGCGCCGCAGCTTGTCGGATCGCGTCTCATGGCGGCGCATCGCGTTGGGTACATCGGGACCGAAGCGCTTCTCCTTCTCGTCAATCGCAGGCTGGTACACACCTGGCAAGCGTGCAGCAGCGGCCGGACTGTAGCTGTCGTTTTCGCTCGGAGTCTTGGACGGCGTGGAGCGACCCGTCGCTTTCTTCCCAACTTCTTGGCCCTCTATTGAGATGCCGCGGAGTGCCGCCTCCTGTCGCGGATCTTCGTCCTTCAGTAAGGTGCTACCGAAGCCGTATTTGTTGTATGACAGGCCAAGTTCGTCGCAGACGGCGCGGCTCTCACGCCAAAGTTCTGCACGCGCCTCTAAGTGCTGACGGCGTGCCTTGTCACGGCGGTATGCGGCCTGCAAGTAGCTCGCTGCAAAGTGCTGCGCTGCCGTCGCGTGAGTATTCTGTACCAAGACAGTCGGCAGGGCGCGAAGCGAACTCTCGGAAAGTCGCCAGACCGCCTCGAACGTTGACCCATCGTCAATTTCGTCTTCGCTAAACGCCATTGCGAGTACACGGCGGGCGAGCGGTAGCAGTACCTCGTGGTAGTGCACCCTGCCGTTGTGGTCGGGAATATCGTACTCACGCAGCAAGCGCAGAAGTTCGACACGATTGTGACGCGAAGTGAGCCCCAGCGGCGGACGCAACGCCTCGAGTAACTCAGGGAGTTGTTTCGTCCGAAGCACAAGTGTCGCATTTGGGTCACGTGCCGACCAGAGTTCGCGGAACCTCTTCAGGTCTTGTATGCGTGTGACGCTTGCGTTCATGCGCACCACTGTAACGTAGTGGTCAACAACAACTGCCACATATAGACTGATGATCATGAGGGCAAAGCATATAACAATCGGCACATAAAACACTGGTGCCCAGTTGGTTGTTCCACAATCTGGCTGAGAGCACACATTGCCGTCAGAAACGCTCGCACGCAGCATAGATACCCATCCCTCCAGCGTTGCTAGGCGGAACGTCATGATGAGAGCGTTTGGAAACGTGAGAAAGTTGTCATATTTGCCGTCAATATAGCTGCTGTCTGAAGGGATCACAGGGCCAATAAGGTGCATTCCAAGTATGGAAAACACAAATATAGCCATGAGCAGGATCAAGGTGACGTTTACAAGGGCCGGCGCAGCGAGGAGTAAGACCTTATGTAGCAAGCGCAGGTGAGTTCGAATTGGCAGGAAAAACTCCATAAGTGTCAGCAGGCGCCCAAAGTGCAGCAGACGGAGCACGTTGACGTCAAATGGTACCTTGTGGTTATCGGTAGTGTTCAGGATGATCTGCAGGTACGAGAGAACCACAACAAAAGCATTGAGGCAGAATGACCAACGCGTGAATGCCCGTGAACCATGCGCCAATAGCCGCATAATCACCTCCACCGTGAAAAGAGCTACCCATACGAACCCAAAAATGTCCAGCACATCTTCCTGCTTCTGGCTATCTTTGTGCCAGTAGAGCGACATGGTGATGATGTTAAAGAACAGGACACACGCCATTACCAACTCAAAGGCGCGATGAGTCACAACACGGTGTAGAAAACGTGAGATGGCATTCCCCATAGGCACGAGTTGAAGACGTGGTGTAAGGCGCAGAATCATGCGTTGCATGCGAATCCACAATTGATGCTCAAGTGTAATACCCATGACACCCTCCCCTGCATTCTTCGCAAGCAGGTAGCAATAAATCATCGATGCAACAAAGAGCGAGAACAGCACGAGATGAGACACGTAGTAGTACGCAATAAAGAAGAGGCCTTTGGCTTGGTGGCTATCTTGGATGGGGGCAAATGAGGTTGACCACCCGTTCACACCACTGTAGATGGTGTCAAGCCACTTTGAACCCGTGCTCACCTCGAACATTGTCAGAAGACTTTCGTAGAAATTGTCAAAATTGCGTTGTGGCCCTTGCCAGACGTCACCGCCCAGTTCACATTCCGTTCTATTAACGATCGTAACATTGGCACAGCTGTGCGTCACGCCCATAAAGAGCCGCACTGCGAGAATAGACCACACAATGTAGTTGAGCAGGCACAGCAACAGCACGTTTGCCATTGTCGGCACACAGTCCCACATAGTCACCGCGAGCTTCGAAAGCTCCTTGTTGAAGGTGCAGTGTCGCATGGGACCAAGAATGCGGAAGCAGCGCATTGCTTTGAGGTAACGCAGGTACGAGAATTTCGAGGCAATCCCAACAAGTGAGACAATGGTGATGAAGCAGTCGAATATGTTCCACCGATGCCAGAAGTACGCCACATGCACATCAAGTACAACACCCATGCTGATCCATTTCAACACCATCTCAATAGCAAAGATGATAGAAAAGATGATGTCAAATACGTACAGCACGAGGTATTTATTGGATGAACGATCCTTGTCTCGGGGGTCATAGAAGCATAAACATAATGATGCGGCATAGATAACCGCAAGGATGATCCACTCGAACAAGGCAGACTGCACAAAACTTGTCACAGCACTGCGTATAGGGTTGCCAGGTGAAAGAATGAAACAAGACCGGTCACGCCATGAACGCTTAAAGGACTTAAGTGTTGCGTCACGTTCCTGTATCTTCTGATGAGCAAGAATGTACGCAAGAGTCGCACGTCCCACTTGCTCCTCACCAACGTGCAAACCAATCAGCCATTGCTGTAATTGTAGGGCTTCAAGTGCGCGGTCCCATGTGCGGTATTCGCGTGCTTCAATATCGGCACAAGAGAGGTACTCAACTGTCTCAAAGAGTAACATGCCGCAGCTCCACGCTTGTCCAAGCACTGTTTCAACAGCCTCTCGTGTGGGCGGCACAGCCAACTCCTTCTGTAGGCGAACATAACCCAAAATAGCGTTCAACACTAGCTGACGTGAGCTGCGTACGGCGGCCATGTGACAGTGCTCAGCGTGCAACTCATCAGCTGTGCGCTGCTGCACATTTGGCGGGGCTCGCAATGGCATCTGCTTGTGTGTGTTGCAATCGAGACATCGCTCAAAAACACGGCGACGGCGGCCCACCATAACGTGCTTGTAGCGAAGACGCGGCCCAGGAACGAGAATGTGCTCGTAGACTCTACCACCCATATTGTCTTCGTCCTCTATGGGATGCATACGATTGCCACCAATTTCCTTGCCTTGTTCGCCTCTCCTTGGCGCTGGCCGTTCATAGTCCAATGTAGCAAAGTGACCAGTCACACTTGAGCGACGGTCCCGCGGTGCACCACTTGCACTACGAGACCCAACCCCATTCGTCGGTTGTCCACCTGCATGATGATGAGAGTCATCTAACCGTGCACCCAACTCACCAAGAAAAGCATTACTTTCCTGCAGCCCCACATCAGAAGGTGTAGACATGAAAGGTGGCGAATGCGTGCCAGAAGGTTCATCCTGTGCTCCTTGGTTATATGCAGTCGCAGGAACGGCACTGTAACGGCGGGCGAACCGCAGCTGTGCGTTTTCAGCTTGAAACTGTGATATTGGCGCGTTAACTGGTGGTCGCCGCTCCTCATCAAACTCACTCGGCATGCTGATCTGTCGCTGCAGTTGCCCACCAACATTGACGAACTGTGGCACCATCACGACGGGTGGTATCATGGACGCCGTATTGAGCGGTACTCCAGTTGTGCCGGCGTTGATGCTGTTGGAAGAAAGCTGCCGGTGGTCCGTTGAGTAGCTGCGCTGTGGAAGCGACTGTCGAGAGAAGCGTTCCTTTGCCTCCGCGATGCGCAGCTGACGCCGCATATCTTGGTTCAAATGGTACACCTCGTCCGGGGCCACATCACGTCGCTCAAAGCCGCCGTGGATATGTTTGAAGGAACGCCAGACAGTGAAGTCAAACCAACGCAGCCGTGGCCCCCCTTGGCTACGAGCAGCAGCACCATTTGCACCATCCAAGGCGTAGTCGTCAAACTCCTCCTCCCGTTGCCACGCCCACGTAAAAACGGAGATAAAGAAATAGCGGAAGATGATCGCTACACCCACAACAGCAATAAAGTACAAAATTGTGTACCCGCCTCGAGCCCGCATGCCATCCCAAGACATATAGAGCCATTCCTCGCGGGTGTACGAGAAGGCTTGCGCCACTGCAAAGGTAGCGTGCGAAAAAGTATCAAAGTCGCCGAGAGTGGAGTAATCGTCGTTTCGGGTAAGGTGACCAGTGCGACTGCCAAAGAAACTCATCCCGATAAGAATCCACATGAACATATAGACAGAGAAGAATACCAGTGCGTACACAATGTCTTGGAAACCGAGTACTAACACGCGTGCCACACGCCGCATTGGTTCAAATGGCGCGACACGGAGTAGCCGCAAAAATTGCACCCAATTGAGCACCGTGATGGCATTAGAGCGGCCAAAGCCAAGCTCGAAGAAGCCAATAATTGTAACGACCAGACAAAGAACGTTGCAGAAGTTCCAAATAAAAGGACCTGGTCCCAGCGCAATGATGCGGATAATATGTTCCAGCATGAAAAGAGCCGTGAAGCAGACACCTGCGATAAAAAGACCATCATCCCAGTATTCGGGTTGCTCATAGTGCCGCGACGCGTTGAATACGCCATTGGCAAACACGAGACATAGCATTACCACGTTAAAAATGGTAATAGGTGCGTTCTCGACAATATTCTTTGCCATGCGAATTGGCGAGAGAGTTTCAACATCAGTTCCCTTCCTGGCTTTACCTGGCATTCCACCCATCTCTCTGTATACATCATTTTCTTCATCATCTTCATCATCGTAATCATCAATGCCCCCGTCGTTACGCTGAAAGAATCCTTTCCCCTGTCGCATCCGACGCTGACGCAGTTTACGCAATGCAGCTTCCTCATACTTATTCACGTAATTGAGTGGTGTAAGACCAAAACGGTGCTGCATCCGCTTGTGCTCCCACAGATATTGAGTGAGAATACGGGGATAGCCTTCGGTAAACATGTGCAGAATGTTACGCACAATCGCCCAGCGTTGAGCACAAGTTGTAGCGTAGCGGAAGTCACCGCCCTCGGGATCGTTGATGAGTACCTCTTGCTGCACCTCCGATGGTAGGGCCGCAGAACCATGAACACCTAAAGGTGATGCCTCATTGTGTGCGGAGAGAGGCCGGCTCGTCGCGCTGCAGGGCCGAGGCAGAGAGTGACGACTTGGAATCACTCCAGCGGACTCTCGTGTGGCCAAAATACTGCCTCTGGTTTCGTCTACACGGTTATTGCCCCCAGGGTGCCGAGAGGCAGACGCCAGCGGTGGTCGTGCTGTATTGTTTGGAACGCCGTTACGTATCCCATTACCGTTACCTGCGCCAATCGAATTCAGGGACTCATCTTCCAATGGGTATTGATACTGTTTGAGGAATTTAAGTTGCTCCTCTTCATTCTCAAGGCGGACAGCTAGCGGCAAATTGGTGCCATGTGCTGCACCTATGGTGTACGTGAGCGGGTGATGCTGCACCATTCCCACACGGCCACCAAGCGCAAAGTCACCGCCCACTGTGGCATTCGCGGTTGTAAGCCTCGAACCCGATGGATTGGCTCGGTTGTTGTTGCTGCTTCTGCTGTCGCCACCACCACGATCAGCACCTGTGCTGCCATTCTGTCCACCCTTAACAACCATACGTCTCTTTCGCTCTGCTTGCTCAGCAATATCACGTTGTCGTGTGAGGGAAAGGTGTAACTGCACACGCTGTTCATCCGTCCACTTGGTACGCTTTTTGACAACAGGATTACACACTTCTCGGTCAGTACTGATGGAATGGGACGAGGGGGTGGGAACGAGGGCACCATTACTACTCTCTACACGGCTGTGCCGGGGTTGGCTGTAGCCATCATAGCGAAGCATATCCAGTGGGTTACTGCGCAGTTTCCCCTGTTCGTCACGTTCAACAAAATCGCGTAGCTTGATGGCTGCATTCAGGCGTTGTCGCTGCTCCAGTAGCATGCTGTCGAACAGCTGTAGCTGCTTCTGCACAAATAGTCGGCTTGTCTTTTCAATTTTTTCGATAAAGACGCCAAGATAAAGGCTTGGAATGAACCACGCGCAAAAGAGTATCGTAAAGGCGTAGTAGAGGATCACGGCCACATTAACTGTTTCATTCGTCTCTTTAAGCAGTTCTGTCCAACCCTGGAAACTCATGATCTGGAATGTCGAGAGGAATGCATGGCCAATATCATCAAAACTACGAAAGTCATAGTGGGGGTTCGTGAACTCCCCTGCCGTGCAAATGTAATTGCTGGGACACACATGACCCATGTAGAGCCACTGCTTACCGGATGCCTCAGGCCGGCACAGCTCCCCATTACTTTCTCCCGTGATCGTGTTCACGCAACGGTAATGTAGTACACCACGGAAGAGCTGAAGCCCAATCAGCGCGAAGAAGAAGAGCGCGTAGACGAGGATAACAGAAGCGTAGAAGAGTTTGTTCGTGGAGCGCAGCAACGACTTGGCGAGCAGTTTCATTCGTACCGGCATTGGGATATATGTACACGACTTGATCACCCGTATGAGACGGAACGCGGTGAAGTTCCACAGTTGCTTCCAACCGGTGCAATTCATCACCATCAACACAAAGACAGCGGTATCAAGCCAATGCCACGGCGAGCGGAAGTATGCACGTGGGTGAAGAATAAATCCCGATGCAAAAAGTCGTACCACTATTTCAATTCCATACAGGACTGTGTAGAAAACGTCGGCAAAGATCATAAAGTCGGGCTTCTCCAGCTCTGGTGTGGTGTGGCGCGCCCATGAAGCAGTGAAAATCGAATATCCAAGGATAAGCAAAATAATCAAAAACTCCATAAGCCAGTGGTGCATCACGTTGTACACCACAACTCGCGCCGTCATCCCTGGTGGGAACACAAAGAAAGACGAGTGGTGGAGCGCAATGGCACGTTGGTGAACTTGATACATCCAACCCGCACTGTTTCGTTCCTCATCCTCTAATTCCTGAGGTACCCGCCCACCTGTAAGGGCACGCAAATTCAGCGTCTCATACACACTACGGACGGCGCGACCCCGCAACGGGTCTCTCTGCAGTCGGCGCGGGTCTTCCTCGAGCACCGAGGAACCAGACGAAAAGAAAGAGTCGTCGTCAGTGTATTCCCCGAGTCGATCAAACAGTACCTCGTCGTCGTCTGCATCAACGCGGCCGACAGTACCAACATTACCGCTCTTCGGATTGAACTCAACGAAGAAACGCTCTACCGGGCGCGTCTGCGTTTGTAGTGGACAGAGCTCCTCCACTGTTTCCTCACCGGAAGGCACACTTCGAGTAAATGCACCACTGTTGCTCATCGGAGGTGCCGTTCTGTTTGAACGCACTGAAGGGGTACCCACACGATCCAGCTGTTTTTTGGGGGGTGATTGTTGTGTTTTTGGCTGGTGCGCCCGCGGTGTCAGTGGGTTGCCTGGTGTGTGGAAGCCGTTGGCATCACCAGCATCAGGGTCGTTGCCATTTCCATTCGAAGGCACTGTATGCGGTTCACCAAGACGCGGCGTCGTGCCACTAATTGGCAGTCGTGGTGGCGGAGAGCGCCGTCCTATATCTGGCCCCTCTGCGCTCTCCCCTGTTCTCCGCAGCGGTGTGAGTCGCCCCATTGGGGGCCGATTGGGTGCGGACAAAGCCCCTAATACAGGCTGTGGACGCACCGGTGTGGTGCCCTTCACTGGCGGCAACGGCGGCGGAAGCCGAAGTCGCCCCGCAGACGAAGCAGCTAGTGCATTGTTGTTGAGGTTATTGCTGCCACCAGTTAAAGGCGACTGTTGTTGCTGGTTGCGAGGCCCCCCAATGGTTGGCTCGAGTGGGTACGGTGGTGGGGTTCCACTCATATGAACGCAAAATGGTGATGAAGATGATGTCGATGGAATGCCTTCCTCAGGAAAACTGTTTTGGGGCTTTACTTTTTGGATGGTAGAGTGGCTCCCGTTGCCGAGTGATTTTGAGCCAGGAATGGCACTCCTGCTTCTCCCGACACTCCTCTAAATTTCTCCTAAATATATGTATATATATTTCCTCTCTCTCTCTCTCTCTCTCTCTCTCTCTCGTCTGTAACGCTCACGTTGGCACCTCTCTACAATCTTTTCCTCTCTAAGTGGATGCAGGAGTGTATGTATGGTAAATGCACCTATAAAACCGCCTCTGGACGCGCGACGCGGCACAAAGACCACAGAGAAAACGGCACTGATATGCCCAATGGGACGAGGACAATATGTGGAGCTACTGAGGGAAGAAAGCCACCCTTACGTGTTGATTCTCCCAGTGCTCAAGTCGGTTGCCTATTCAGGTTGCCGCCTTGTCTTCTCCTTTATCCACGTCGCCTGCACCCGCTCTCTTTTCCGAATAGCGGTTTGGTTGGTGCCTTTTGCGCTGTCGTTTTACTTGTTCTTCCCGGTTTTGTACTTCTGCAACTGCGTTGCCAGAAAACAAAACAGCCACAAAAGGGAAAACGGAGCTGAAAGCACTACACGCCCACACACACAGAATTTCTCACTTTCTCTCAATCACACGCGGGTGAACCAATTACTTGGGTAGACTATGTGAGGTGTAGTGTGTACACCAATCTATCACTCGCACCTTCAAAGAAGAAAGAGGGAGCAGGGAAGTTATCACCAAGGCAAGAACGAAAGAACAAGTTGAATTGACATCAGCTGGCTTGAGGCGCAGCTAATTGAGCTACAGCACATCCAGCGAACGCGTAACTTACTTTAGCGCCCCCGATTATATATATATATATATATAATCTGCTGCGTTCTCGTTTGCACACTAGCGAAGAGAGATGTGGGTCCATGAGGTTTCACCTCCGTTTCACTCCCTTTCCTGACTCTCTGTTTTATGTGCTGTATGAGCCGGCTGCTCCTGCGCCTCCACCGTTCAGCAGTACAAACACACACACACGCTCACAGAGACACATGCATCCGCACCTCCGCAATGCCAAAAACAAAAAATACAGCTGCGTTAGTATACACGAAGAGCCTCCTCACTCGACCCTCCCAGCAGGATGGAATGGAGGCGGAGCACACTTCCCCACTCTTGGATGTTACACACAAGACGTTTGGTTGCTCTTCACTTCCTTCGCCCTCTTCGCTCCCCTCTCTCCCTCTCTCTCCCCACCATCACGCGGGCGCACGGCGATAAGAATCAAAGCGGTACTGTCATGCACGGCAAGGAAAAAAAAAACAATAAAAAAGAACAAAATGGTACTGATCAATAATCGTACTAAAGTATTGCGGAGGGAAGGGTGGACACGCCCCACTACACACGTTCTGCACCTCTTCTGGTGCTCGTTTTCCTCCTACTTCTCCGCGTGCGTGGGTTCGTTCAACCCTCCGTCCTTCGGCTTTGTTCCCGTCATGCGGGTTAGCATTTCCTTCTGCATTTCTGCAAAGGCATTCGGCGCCAAGGAAGAAGAAGTGGTAGTACTAGTAGACGTCAAATTGCCTGAGGGAAAGGAGGGAGTTGCGCCTGTCGCAAAGTGATTGTGGAGAGGGATCCTGTTCGCGTCGGAAGCGCTGACGCTGGTGAAGGAGGGGTTACTCCAGAGCATCTGTTGTTGTTGTTGTGGCTGCTGCTGCTGCTGCTGGGGCAGGAGGGCCATTAGCTGCTGCTGTTGAGCCATGAGGCTCTGAAGCTGTTCGANGCTGCTGCTGCTGCTGCTGGGGCAGGAGGGCCATTAGCTGCTGCTGTTGAGCCATGAGGCTCTGAAGCTGTTCGAGTGCGGCGGAGCTCGGGTTGCGCTGCAAGTCGGCCATGAGGGACTGCAACTGCTGCTGCAACTGCATTAGCATTGTGGGATAGGATCCCGCCATCGCCGCTGCCGAAGTTTGGGGAGAGAGAACCTGGAAGTTGCCACCACCGGGACCTACTATATTGTTGTTGCCATTGTCATTACTGGTCTCCATCGACGGTGTTGCGCAGAACAATGAAGGCGGCGAGACTTGCATCGAGGATGCCGCCGTATACGGTGCAAATGCCTCCTGAGTAGGCAGTGGTGCAAACGGCGCATGATCCCCCCCATTGTTCACCGCAAAAAAATCAAACGCAGTTGTGTTGCTGTTATTACTCTGTGCCGTCACGGAAGGTGAAGGACTGGGCCCTCCAAAGAGGTCGTCCAGCACGCTATTATTTCCAACAACAACGTTGGTGCCACCCATGTTTGCCGTCTCCGTCATCGTCGTCGCCGCCGTGGTCGGGAAACCCAAGGAAGAGAAGTGGTTCCCACTTGCGGGTATACCTTGAGGGCCACGATGCCTGCTATTGTCGTTCACGATATTGTTTTTGACGCTGCTGCTACTGCTGCTGGTGTTATTGTTGCTTGCTGGGTTATAATTTCTATCATCATCGTCCCCCTCCTCTTCGGCCAACCGCATCGGCGCACGTTTCTTCAACGTTGTCTTGTCTCGTACGCCGCGGGGATTCCTGCGGAGCGTCATTCCACTCAGGTCCACCGCCGCGTCACGCCCCACACCACCACCACCACCACCACTTCCGTCCGCCGTTACTGTCGCTGTTGGGAGAGGTGCCGACCACGAGACGGTGTGCATCGCGTTGCCTGCGCACTGCGTCTGCTGCGCCTCCGAATTCGGCACAAAGGCGGAACAGGTGCCCTGCCCAGCCGCCTTGCTACAAGCATCGTGCTCGGGGAGACCAAGCAGCTTTGCAACACGCTGCGCACGCTCTCGCAGCGTTGCCTGGACGACTACGACGTTTCGCTCCACATCTTCAGGGTTCTCGAGAAAGTAACGCATCACTTTCTTCTGCATCGCCCCAGTCACCGCTGCGTCAATGTTGTGGGCGTCAGCGCGAGCGAGCAGAAGGGCCTCCAACGCCACAAGCGCATTGAGCCGCCGTTGCCACGGATGCTTCTGCGCGAGTTGTGCGTCAAGCGACTCGGCAAGCTCCTCCCAGCACCCGTCCTCCTCATCCTCGCTCTCATCCCCCTCCACACCCTGCTGCGGCATAATCTCTGCTCCTATGTTGAGACACTGCGTCACAAACGCATGAAGTTCCACCCGCTGAGGTGTATTTTTCATCTGGCAGAGGCGCTGTACACACTCTTGAAGTGGCGTGAGCTGCAGCGGTTGCTGCTGCATTTGCAGAACAGAGCTACCGCTTATCGTCTTGTGTGTCGCCGTATCACCGTTCTTTTCAATTTCCTCAATAAACTTCCAGCCGCTGCTACTGTTTGTACCACCTGGTGGGGCGAAGGGTACGTCGAGGCTCAACTCAACTGGCTGGAAGCTGCCCGTGTCGGTCATCGACGACAAAGACGCCGCCATTGCGCCTGTCGTGCTCAGCCTGAGGGCGCTCTCGTACAGCTGGTCCTTGGCGTTCATATAACGCTTTCCTGCTTCCGACGTCTGGATCATACCGAGACCGACCTTTGCCTTTTCCACCACCGTTGAGAGCATGCGGCTAGCGGTGCTGGTGTTCGCGGCCGCCACCTGCTGCGCCATGTGCTCCGCCCACTTGTTCGTGATGGGCATTGGCGCGATGTGGTTGCTGTATACGCCCATCGGCCCGCCCACCCCCGCCCCCGCCAAAACATTGCCGGTGGTAAACGTTGTTTGCCCCACCGTCCCACCGCTTCTGTTAGCATTGTTGCCGTACCCCGTCTCAATCGACAGCCGATCCTCTTTGCGGTGCGTGAAGATGGCCTCCATCGCGTCCCGCGCAGCCTGCCGTACCTTCTCATTAAGGCTGTCGCCATGCCGCACGTCCGGCACGCCACGAAAGACAGCGTAGGCCTTGATTTCCTCGGTGCGGTTGGTCTTCTGCATCTCCTTCTGAAAATCGCTGTGCCCAGTTTCACACATGACCTTTATAATGCGCAGCACCTTGTACAACACGTGCGCGCTAGCACTCGGCCTCAATTTTTCAAAAAGGGCACCAATGAATTTCATTTGTGCGTTGTAGTCCTTGAACGTCCATTGTGCCATTTCACGGTACATGTACCCCGCCGTCGGCTCCTCACTATCTGCGACCGCACGCTTGAAGAGGCTCCAGTCCATTTTCGCCGAGATCTCTCTCT